CACATTATGCAGAATATGCTGTGTTTAGTACAATTTACCTGTATTTACTCAGAGTGCCACCACATCTTATTAATAATTTTGTAGCTAGCGACAAAAGATTGTTATTTGCTTAGCTAAACGAACTAGAGGGGTTCAGTTCCTGAACCTATTATGTGCCTCTGTAATCCTATACACCACCGCCCACGGGATGGGTATGGGGTGCATCATAAAGAAATTGAAATTGAATTAACGGGGACTGCGATCCCTACGGCTTGACAAAGGTCCTGGCCATATGCGTTTTAACTCACAGACACGTTATGGAGCGCCGCCCTACTGATTGCCCCTCTTACCGTCGTGCATATCCTGACTTCCAGGATATACGCCAGACTTGCTTCCCCAACATCTCTAGATAGAATCCTCAGTGAATCAGATACCTTTGATATCGCTTCTTTTATGCTATTTTCGTATTGGCATCCTTGGTGATATCTAGCGCCTTTTGAATATCTTGCAACTTAATGGTGCTACGGCTCCCCGGCTTGGCGTCTTCTTTTGATACTTACTTGACAAAGGTTCCCCCATTGCTTCAGAGGAGTTTGAACTAAAGTAATGTGCAGGCGATCAGTCACAATAACGTGGCTAAAGTAAGTTGACCAGACCACACACTAGAAGGTGAAGGGACGACGACGTTTCGGTCCGTCCTGGACCATTCTCAAGTCGATGAAGGGACCGAAACGTCGTCGTCCCTTCACCTTCTAGTGTGTGGTCTGGTCAACTAAAGTAATGTCTTCGCATGTATGCCTTCGGAGAGTAGGCGGTCCCATAGGTTTATAACCCTATGGATGCTCTTGTATCTATTATGACGAAATATATGAGCCAAGTAAATAAAGCAAAATTTAACTAGTGTTGTCGAAAGTAGTAGAAACTTACAAACTCTGTGTTTCAAAGTTTGTGTCAACATTCTACTTGTCATCTTGACACGATTGCATGTTAGGTGTAGTTGATTTATTCTTAGAGTATTTCTTAAATAAACAACAATTTTTATATTGTCTTTTATTTTTACCGATTGGGTTTACAACATGGCGACAGCCAGTTATTAGACAGTTGCCGGTCACAATCATTCCACCAGTTATTATAATACCCAGCCTGCGTTCCATTCGCTTCTGCCATTATAAAATTGGCAATAGTGTGATACCTGAATGTGAGAAAAAGAGAATTGAATGTGTAATTGTCTAAATGAGTGCCAGATAAAGTTGAACGAGTGTAAATATCTAGACTAAAATTGTGTAGCTCTAACCTGTCCTACAAAGAACATCGCTTTTCGCTCGTATGTGTTACATAAGACCAAAAATTGTCGTACTAGAAAATGGAAGTGGCTCGCGAAAGTGACGCACTGTCCCGTTTTCTTGACGTTATCTTGGTTATCTTGAGATGATTTCGAGGCTTTAGTGTCCCCGCGGCTCGGTCCACGATCAGGCCTCCACCCCCAGGAAGCAGCCCGTGACAGCTGACTAACACCCAGGTACCTATTTTACTGCTAGGTAACAGGGGCATAGGGTGAAAGAAACTCTGCCCATTGTTTCTCGCCGGCGCCCGGGACCACAGGATCACAAGGGCAGCGTACTGTCTGCTCGGCCGACCGGCTCCCCAAGGGGGCACGCTGGGAAACCTTAGGGGGCATATTACGGAAAAATGCGATAAATGAAAACTTGTTCGATTTCAATTAAACTTTTATGACTAGTTGTATATAAAATTTGGTTGAACTGGCCCAAGTCTCAGCATCACAGCATAAATAGGAAGGGAGGAAAAAAATATTGAATTGTGTCAAAAATTTTATAAAATGGTCAAAAAATAACATCAAACAAGTGTCAACTGAAATCATGTCTATGCGTCTAAGCATATAATAAAGTATTTTAATATTTAGTTTTAAGAAAAAAAAAAAAAAAAAAAATTGTTATCAGCCAATTTGCATGAAACTTGTACACCTACCAGAACGTCAGCCTTTCTGTAAGGATGCAAATTTTGGAGGAAATTGATTGAAGTCAATTTCAACCACAGGTGTCAGAATCTCTGATCGCATTTATTGTCAAGTAACAAAATTACTACTTAAATTTTTTTTGCAATTTACATGAAATTTACACCTCATATGTAGAGTTTACGTCTCTACAAACTTTATAAAGCACCTTATTCCAAAGTTCATTTATTAATTTTATAAATATTTGCAAACGTGAAATATTGGCATGTATTTTTGGGGAACTTTGACTACTTGTATTAGTAAAACTAAACATTTTGGATAATCCTTTTTATAAAATTCCTTTATTATATGCTAATATGACATACGAGTGTCATAGAAATGTCATCATTTGAAACTTGTGGTTGTAGATAATTATTGAAAATGTGCGAAATTCGTTGAAAAAAAAAACTCCTTTTCTATTTAGTGTGCGATACCGAAACGTAGGAAAGTTGCAGCCCTTCTTATATACAAATACTGTAGAAAAAATAAGTTTGGTTGACATTAAACATTTCCAAATCGCGTAATATCTCCCCTTAGGAGTACGGACTGTTAGCTCAGTAGGCAGGGGACTTTGTTCACAACCAATAGGTTGTGAAATAAATTAATAATTTCTGCAGTAATAGTTGATTGACAGGTGAGAGGCGGGCTGAAAGAGCAGAGCTCAACCCCCGCAGGCACAACTAGGTGAACATAAGTCCTAGGTTTTATTACCGTGGCAGGACAGAAGCAACGTTTTCTATCACTCGGTATTATGGTCACCTTGCAGCAAGTACCCTGAAGTTAGGCAATTGTATCTTGGGGGAAGGTCATCAGAAGGCGGCCCAGCGGGAACTGAAGCATGAAAGGGTTTCCTATTGTCGGAGAAAGGAAGCCTAACAAAATTATGCAAGGCTAATTATAATTTGAGTGGAGCCGAGCGTCCCATAAGACCAGCAAATAAGTTACAATACATTAATTATAACAGCAGTAAGTAATTATCGAAAGAAATTATCAAGCCGGGAAGACACCGTAGCACCGTCAGTCCCGGATATTCAAATGGCGTTACATATGTTTTATGTTATGTAAGTATGCAGTGCTATATGTTATATGAGTATGCAGTATATGTATGTTATATGAGTATGCAGTACAAAAACAGGCCATAAAGAGTGTGTGTCGGGTTCTCCAAAGACAAATGACGGGAACATTTCAAGAGCAAGACCTATGATCCTGAAAATCTGAACATTAAATAAGGTGTGAGATTGTAATGACAGTGTAGTTCGAACAAGGTGTGAGATTGTAATGACAGTGTAGTTCGAACAATAAGGCGCACGAAATCGTTCCATTTGGTGGCCAACCGATACGTTGCCTAGTACCTACTATGATGGTAGAAGGAATTACATTGGGACTGGCCACTTTTAAGTGTGCGCAGTTTGTTACCTGTACTGCTAGACCATTGACCTTGCCAACATTTGCGGTTTAGGGAATGAATCGAAAGTTCACAAGTTCGTTTGAGGTAACACCAATATGACAACAGTAACTTGTGAAGTAAACAGCAGAATGACAAATTTGCTGAAAATCAAAATTTCCTAATTTTCCCAATATTTGCAACAAAATGTGCTAGTATTAGGTGCAAAGGATTACGAAACTAAGACCCGTGAGGGCATTGCTGGTCAGCCACAATGATGAAAAAATGTTGACACCTAACAGCATACTAACTGTATCAAGTTTTGCAGTGAAGATGCTAGTCTCCGGGGTCGTGAGATGGAGCAGACATTGGAGGGAAATCATCACCACGACAGCATTAGATGATATCGTCAAAAAAAGGGTCGAGAAGATAACAAGGGAAAGGGAGGAAGATCATATAGGGAATAGAGAAAAATAAAAGTCCTAAGGAGCATTTCTAAGACTACAACCTTCATACTGATGAAAAAACAAAAATGGCACCAACTTTCACTTTAAATGAGCGACTAGCGAAGAAGCTTTGAAGGAAAAAAAAAAAAGGGAGATTTCTAGAGGCCAAATGAACGTAGTTGGGCAAAATTGTCCCAAAGTGGTCATAAGCCTTTTCCAGGTCGAGAAGAATTGCAAGGGCAATAACGAATGTAGACCTCAAAGTCCACCAAAATATTTGTTTGCTGCGACACTTGCAAAAACCAAATTGGGAGGGGAAGGTAGCACTGGTGTTCAGTGAACCACACAGGATGCACAGTAGGGATATGCTGCTTTCAGATCAATGGGATGAAAATCCTTAGGAAAAAGTCCCTCAAGTACCAGGTCTTCCAATTGGAAAAACTGCAGAAAACCAATCTTTGGGGATCGATGTTGGCTCCCAAATACATCATAGATGAACAGCAAATACTGCAAGCATCACAGGAAGTGACCCCTTCATTGTAGAATTGCAGACATGGTGGACTGGTATTTAGAAAGGGTGAAAAGATTACAGGAAGGCAAAAATGAGTGCAAAAGTCCAGGATAAGACAAAGGAGCTTACAAGTATAAAAAAAAAAAAAAGAAATAGGCCAGAGGGACCTCCAGCTATTGGTAGAAAATGTAATATTAGTGGTTGTGACAATGAAACCAATCTTTCAAGAGTGAAAAGTGGCTATTCGTAAAACAAAGACCTTGTGACTCACCAGTCAAGACTAGTCCATTGGTTAATATAGACTTAATCTAATATTTTTTTGCCTAGTGTTCATACCCAAGGCTCACTTCGCTTGTTTATCATAGGAGGATCTTCATAAACCAACCTTTACTGTTGACCAGACCACACACTAGAAGGTGAAGGGACGACGACGTTTCGGTCCCTCCACCTTCTGGTGTGGTCTGGTCAACATACTTTAGCCACGTTATTTCCTGCTGCCTGCACCCTTTACTGTCATCAGATTTAGCAAAACGTGGAAGCCCTCTCCCACAAACTAAGTGGTTTGCATTCTTGTCTGTGAAGATTATGGTCTTATGCATTACTGTTTAAATAGGAGGTAGATTCAAAATTCATAATCCATGAAGTTATCAGGATAGAAAAAATGCAATATTATGTTTTCATTTATTATAAAACAATTTATTTGTGGCCTGCAGCGGCAGCAGCTGCAGCAGCCGCGGCGGCGGCAGCAGCAGCAGCAGCCTTCCTCTGTTGGCCCATTACGCGCTGCATCTCTTCACGCTTCCTCTTAGCACGAATGTGGGTGCCCAACTGCAAAGCAAAGTAAAAAACTGAGAAAACTACATTTCTACCAAAGATAATTTCTTTAACAGGAATGGTGATGCAAACATTCTCAACTCACTATCCCAGAGTTACGATTGTCCAATCATGTATACTGTACATTATATGTATGGTGCAATTTGTTCAATGAGGATGATATGGAATTTCAAACAAAATTATATTGATTGCAAACAAACTTGGGTTAAAATTAAGAAAAAATATACATCCTTCGATCAGCACTTGAGCTGAATATTCTTCCAGCATAATTTGCTAAATTTGAATATACATTAACATTGCAAAACACCAATAATTTAAAATCTTGTATCTTGAGCACTAACAGTCAGCACAGGCATAACCACAACTAATGAGTACTACAAATTCTCTTAACTGTTAAGTCTACACAGTATAGCAGAGCCTCGTCTACTGAACCTAGTTATTGAAATACTTGAGGCTTGGCTCAAATGGTTTACTGCCATAATAAAACGTTAAGTTTTAGTGACAGTTTGCATAAGCTGCTGCCGAGCTAGCCCATCTATATGCACCATGTTAACAGCCCAGCCTAATGTAAATGTTAACAAAGTTAAACACTGAACTGCGCATACAATTCAGTGTATTGTATGCACAGTCAATTTGCCAACTCAAATACATTAACAATTACATTACTGAACAATATTTAAAAGTACACAAAATAGCAAAAGCTAATAGAATGTTGCAATGTTGTTATTGATGAAAATTCAACGAATTCTTAAACAATAAATAAAAAAACGTAAAAATTTACTGAAAATGATTTACCGAAAACTAAAGATTTTTTAAATTGACAAACTGATCCAATATATGTCACAGCAAAGGTTGTTCAAAGTCTTTTGAAACTATATCCATAAGATCAGTCATTCTGCTGTTGGGGTGTACAATGTTATTGTTAAATATCAGTCTCTGTGCTGCAGTTGCAGTTTTTTTTTTTTTACTTACAAGGCATCTAATATAGGCAGTCAGTGCTGAGATTGGCAGCAATATAAAAATATATTTCCAACAAGCAGAAAGTTGACCCGGCATAAAACGTAGTTTATGGCTACTATGCCACAATGCTGGTGGCCTCCCACCTATGGTCACCACTTTACGAGAATGAAATAATTTATTTAACATTCGTGGGCAAAATAAAGATAGTATACTGTACACACAATTTTGGCACAAGACCTGTAATCATCAAAAGGCATCACCAAGCTGTTTACTTGCCAATGATCACTATAGCGAATCAAAAGTAAAAAAAAAAGTGGGAAATATTTTATACGAGATCAGTAAACTTATGATGCACAGATCTTTAACATGGCAACAAACATGTAGACATAATAACTGTCTTTAATTTATTATCGACAATGATATTCCTCTATCATGTGCAACAATTCTTTGCATAAATTTAGTATAATTAATTCAGTGTGATTGTCAAAAATTGACCAGGGGTAATAAATTTAAATATGAAGGTGAATGAAAGATTCCATTTGTTTGAGTATTAAAAACCAAATTTTTGGATGTCGCCTACATCATTTCTCAAGGTACTGTCTACAATGTTGCCCCAACATCATAAACAGTATACTTGGAAGGGATGTAGGCGACATCCAAAAATTTGTTTTTTAATTCAGTAAAACATAAAATGGGTTTCATTCACCTTCATTGAAGCACTACTGCATTGTAGTAACTTTCTCCAAATTTAAATACATCTAGAAGAGATTGAATGGAGTGAAAACAATAAATTTATCAATGAGCCCTAAACCATACATGACAAAACAACAAAAATGAGCATCTGAGTCAACAGACTATGACCTCCCCAGCTGGCTATTCCACATGCAAGAAAACAGAAGCCTTGGGGAGAAAGAGGTGGGTGGTGGCACAAGAGGCGATAAGAGGGAAGATGAGGTTGGCAGCACCAGGGCAGGGAGGCGGGGGTGGGGGGGTTTAGTTTGGTGGCAGCATGGAAGAGGCAGTGAAGGGGGGGGGGTTAGTTTGGTGGCACCAAGAAAGACAATTATATTATTTCCTGGCAAGTATTTAACACTGACACCCCCTAAACATTAATTTCACAGAGGCTGGCACCATGGTGTCTAGTCACTGTGCAGCTAAGCCACTTTAAAAATTACAACTTTTTATTTCTTAAATATTTTTCAGTAACTTTATAGATTTATGAATTAATAACCATGGTTATGCAGATGATAAGTCACAACATCGTGACTAATTTTTTTTTACCAAACCACACTAGAAACTGGAGAGATGACGACGTTTGGTCTGTCCTGGACCATTATCAAGTCGATTGTTACGAGATGAGGGAAGCAAAAGCAGTAAGTAGGCAAAAGGGGCGAGGAGATGGAAATGTAAGAAGATAGGAGCAAGGCAAAAGATATGGAAGGTAAGGTGTAATAATAGGAATAAGAAAGGGATCATAAGAGAAAAAAAAAGATAAAGGAAGGGTAGGCTTATGTTTGGTCATGTTTGTTATAAAGTTTAGAACATTTGAATATATTCTGAGAAAGAGAAGAGCCAACAGCAACAAAGCCAGGATTCGGATTCCATGTTGGGTAGGTTGTGTATCAGAGCCGATTCGACAATACGGCGCCTGTGTAGAGTACAGGCAGGAAAAGATTATTTAAGAGGAAGACCAAGCAATAGGATGATTAGAATACCTAACATGACAGAAGAGAGCATTGTTTGTGTCTGCAGACTTAACACTTTTGTGTTCCTTAAAATTAAATTAAGCGTCATTTAGTGTACAGCCAGTTTCACCAAAGTATTGCAGAGGACAAGATGAACAGGAAATAGAGTAGACACCAGCAGCATTAGAAGCAGGAGGAGCAGTGTGAATTAGATTGTTACGAAGAGAGTTGGTTTGTCAAAAGGCGAACTTAATGTCAAGAGGCCGAAAAGTATTGAGTTTTGAGTTCAGATATGAAGGGAAGGCAGAGCAGTGCTAATAGCGTTGTAAGCAGGTTTAGGATGAAAAATTTTGTTTAACTTGATAAAGGAAATTTCAGAATCAAGAAACTGAGGGGTTGCTGATGTATAGAGCGCAGAGAAAGAGACAAGACACTTTTAGTAACAGTAGGAGGATGGTAGGAAAAGTGAATGTACATGCCACTATGCATGGGGTTGCAGTAGACATAGAGAACCCATACACAGCTGTGAATGTCAAGAAAAGGAAAGAGGGAATTAGATTCCCATTCAACTTTGAAATGGATGGAAGGTGCTAGATTGTTGAGAAAGGACAGGAAAGGCTGGAAAAGACCAAGGTCACGAGGCCATAAGGCAAAAATGTCAACATAATGTCAGAGAGAGAGAGAGACGAGTATCAATAGGAGGAGGAAGAACAATTTCGAAGTATCCCATGTAGAGATTGGCAAGAACAGGGGAGAGGTGGGGGGGGAACCAATAGTGACACCAAAAGTTCTAGTGTCTGACGAGTTCAAAGAAAACGTCAATGGGAAGCGGGAGGAAGAAGGCCCTCGGTTACCTTCTGACTAAGGAAAGAGAACGTCATCAAGGGGAACATTAGTAAACAGAGTTGACATCAAGACTAAGCATCTTACAGGAGGGCTGCAGGCGCATTCTTTCTATGAAGTCCTGAGAGTGACAAGCTGGGTAGGAGAAAAAGTGCCAAGGCATCAGTTTTAGCAAGCTAGTAGGCAAGATGATAGCCAAGAGAGCCCCTTGAAGAAATGATAGGACGAAGAGGAAACCACGTTTATGGGTCTTGGGTAGATCATAGAAATAAGGAAGATAAGGACAGATGACAAATGTTTAATAAGATCGAAGTCAGGACAAAGACTGGAGAGCTGTCTTAGTTTGCAAAGTGCTCTGCCGTCCCTTCATATCTGAACTCAAAACTAATACCTCTCATCCTCTTTGACAAAGCTTGCCTTTAGACAAACTAACACACTTTGTTGCAATCTATTTCACACTGCTCCTCCTGCTTCTAATGCTGCTGGTGTCTACTCTATTTCCTATCCATCTTGTCAGGAAATAGACACAAATGTGACCTAACATAAGCCTACTCATCCTTTTATCTTTCTAGTTTTCTCTTACGATCCCTTTCTTATTCCTATTATTACACCTTACCTTCCATACCTTTTGCCTTGCTCTTACCTTCCTCTAAGATTACCATCTCGCCTACTTAATGCCCTTGCCTCCCTCATCTCATCACAGTCTACTTGACAATGGTCCAGGACAGACCCGAAATGTCATCTCTTAAATTTCTAGTGTGTGGTTTGGTCAACCAAAGTTATATTTTTCAATGTGAGGCTGCATTATTGCAGTATTACATGAATTTTAATATCATATTTTCAATGTGAGGCTGCATTATTGCAGTATTACATGAATTTTAATATCATTATTCAGTATTTATAAAGTGGAGACTCACTGGCTTCTTTCCGTATAGAATAAATTCAATACTGTAATTACTCAGTAGCAAGGCCTGCTGCATTAAAAAAATCAAACTTAATATAAAACTACTGAAATCTGGGTTTATAGGGGAAACAATTATTATAAAATTACACATCTGGTTCAAGAAATTAAGATTGTTAGGTGTATTCAACACAAAGGAAAATCTGTAATATGCAAGGAATACAGCAGTCATTAAAATTAGTGTCCCTAGGCTGAAGATAAAACTTTTACCAAAGAAATAGAGATGCAAATCATACATACCCTTTTCTTGAGGAACTTCAAGGCCCTTTTGTCCTTTGACACCTTTAGCAATTCAATTGTACGCTTCTCGTAAGGTGCAAAGCCCATAACCTCACGGATAATGTCTCTCACAAACTTATTGTGTTTGGTGATTTTCTGTAATAAAATGTAGATATGAAAAGATGCATGCTATACATTACTAATACAAGTGTACAGAACAGTATAATTTCTTCTTAAATGCAAATAACAAAAACTGGCAAAATACCTGTACAGTATTGCATAATAAATGTTCACTATTTTTATGACATCTGATCCTCAAAAGTCTATCTTATGTATATAAAAACACAGTAAAGACTTACCCCTTTACGGGAACTGGGCTTTGGCTTTCTTGTGTTCTTTGTGACCTTGTGGCCTTTGTTGAGGCCAACGGCCATTTCATACCTTGGCGCCATTTTTTGCCTGTTAATCAATATGAGCATTAGACAGTGCTAATACAGTAATTGGATTAAAAAATTACCTTGAATAAAAACACAAGCACACTTGAAACACTGATAAAGTAGTTAAAATTTTACCAAGTACTTATTTTAACCTATTTTAAGTAATTCTACACCAGTATATAATTATGTTAGATTCAGAACAATCATTAAAGAATAGATTAAATAATGATGAATGTGTATGAAAATGTGTTAACACTTGACTAAAAGATAGTAAAAGTGGTTCCATTAAGTTTTTAATGGCTCATCAACATTGATATTCTTACTCCTGAGAAACCCCAAGGACACAGTGTTAGTGTTGAAAGCCACAATTAAAATCCTAACCATTCAGTCCTGCAATACAAAAAAAGTAACTATACTGTCAATAGGCTTCTTTTTTATCATCATTTACTGGATACCCTATGATAATGTGCATTATGGCCTTCGGCTCTAATGGAGAGAATACATGTAGTGGAGAAAAAGGGGACAAGGAAAAGAATTACAAGAATGCAGTGCAAGATAGAATGTACCAAGGGGAATGCAGTGTAAGATAGAATGTACCATGGGGAATGCAGTGTAAGATAGAATGTACCATGGCGAATTATTTTTAATGAAAAAGGCAAGAAATATCAGGGGTGGCTAGTAAGGGAATCTTTCACATATGGTATGATATGGTAGCTCCATAGTTTAATGCTACGCTTTTGTGGCTTTAAGAAAAACTACAATATAAAGAAATAATGGGTAACAGCTTCCATGTTAATATTAGGCTATAATTTGTAGAGAGGTCTACTATCAAACTCTACTCATCAGACAACAGTCCTTGTAGTGTCAGCGAATCCTCTCATTATTCTTGCACCATTATGGTACCATGGCAACATGGATGTGTACCATGGGTTTAATTGGTGCGGCTATCCTAGAAACCATAAATACAAAAACGTAAGCACTGTAGCTTCCACCATGTACAAACCTGTATGAAAACATCATTTTATGCATTACTATATACTAACCAATTTAGAAAGAAAAGAGAATTCTCAGGAACAATTAGAGAATGGTTTGAAAAGTAATAACGTTTTACTTTAAAATTGTGGATGCATTGCAACCAAGTAATACTACATTATTGCAGTGTTACGCGTAGAACTTCATTATGTCATCCAGCATTCAGGTGGTGCACATGGGCTTGTAAAAAAAAAAAAAAAAAAAAAAAAAAAAAAAAAAAAAAAAAAAAAAAAAAAAAAAAAAAAAAAAAAAAAAAAAAAAAAAAAAAAAAAAAAATAGTATGTATATTTAAATACCTGTATTGCTCATTACATACAGGAACTTTAACAAAAATTGCAGATACTGTACTAAAATGAGGAACAAAATCCTCGTGAAAATTCTGCCCCTGCAGTCAAATGCAATTTTTTTTTTTAAATGCAAAACTAAATATTTATCTGAATAATGTAGAAGATATAAAATCAAATTGCAGAAAGGATTTGAGTTATGATTAGCAAAGGCCTAAAAACCAAAACAAATTTATAAATGTACACAAAGCTAAACAAATAATTGCTTATACTACTGCATATATATATTTTTAGTACCGTACTGTATATCAATTGTCTCAACTTTACCCTGTACAATTGAGCACTTTTTTTCAAGCATACAATTAAAAAAAAAAAAAAATTAAAACTCAACTGTAAGAAGGGAACTATCAGGAGAAAACACCATGCCATTACAACTACATAGGACTTGGAAGGGGGCAGGATAAAGATTTGGAATGGGACGGGGGAAAGGAATGGTGCCCAACCACTTGGACAGTCGGGGATTGAACGCCGACCTGTATGAAGTGAGACTGTCGCTCTACTGCCTAGAGAATCGATGAAAAAAGTGCATTGTAGATTTTGGTCCTTTCTACACATTTCTAAACGTAAACAGACTGCATTTGGAGGGTCCTGCTCAGAGATACTTGTTTACAGTTATACGTTTACTCAGTTATCGTTGGGTTATAACCAATATCAAAATGTTTGTAATTAAATTCTATATAATGAATACAGTACATGAAAAACAAATGTGTATTTACAAATAACTTGTGTGACTGATGAGTATACAAATGTTTATGAATAGGAATCTGATGTATTTTAGCATAATCAGAATGTGAAAGTGTTTAGGGTGAGTGTTGAGGACAGTAGAGGGCAAAAGTAACATGGTGAGGTTGGCAGGTGGCAGAAGGTGGCAATGTGTTGAACAGTAGAAATGCAAAGGGAAGGAGTATGGAAATATTGGTGAAGGAAAATACTGTACTAGTAATAAGTGTTGTACTGTACATGTAAAATTTTGAATTTTACTTAGTCGTTTCAACAAAACTTTGCACTTCTTCTCATACTGCACACTACTTCGCAATTTCCTATCGCTATCCTCACATTTATTTTCTTAGGTTGAACCTTACCACTGACTTTCTTGGGACCCACGGCACGGTAGGTACCATGTACCTACCATGCCAAAACTACTTAGTACTTAGATGTTTAAAAAACAAAAAAGCTGAAAACAATTAAGTTCTTTACAAAGATTTCAAGCGCAATTGAAACTAGGTGGGAGGCATTGGTAAACTGAAGCGCAGTCCCCCATGCCATCAGAAACCACGAGTTCAGTCGACCCATACGTGTATCAACTTGCAAAGCGAAGCAAAGTTTGTAAACCGATTCAAATTTTATGAAGAAATCGAGCTCATAACCCAAAAAATTTGTAAAGAGGGACATTCGACAACCCAGGTTCCACTACTATACTTAGTATCCAACAATGTAAGGTTACAGAATAACAACAGTTTTGTGTTTTTGAGATTGTTTAGGCATTCATGTTACCTTGCATGCTGCTGTTAAGAGTATCGGTATTGATAGTGTCTGCTTATTTATTCAGTACTGTATAGGTAACTAACCAGAACTGTGTTGATTTTCAACTTGGAATAAGACGAAGCAGTCTGGAATGAGTGATTGCAAGGACATCAGGTGTAACATAGCATGGAAAAAGTGTATTACTTCAAACTTAAGTGTGACAGATTTCCATAAAGCTGATCAATTTATTACAACCCACTCAGGAGTTTCAACATTAATTTTCATGTCTGTTATCCCTCCTCTTGCAGTAAGAGGATGTTTTTTTATTTGGAGTGAAACCAAGCTCGGTATATTTACATCCAAGGAGTTAAATTAAGGAGTTTCTTGGTAAAAATAGTTTGGCAGTCCTGAACACAGGAGGTGGACTACATTTGGGATGTGACATGTCCAGCAGTGGGTGATGCGAGATTTTGATTACAAAGTAGATTCAAATTATAGCTCATTTAAAAACATTCTTAGTAAAGCCTAGGAATATTACCATATAAATTTAATTGGTTAAATAACTTACTCAAAATGGATAGCTGTGAAACATACAGAATCTTATTGAAAAAAAAAATGATGGCACACACAAACGAATTAAGATTGGAGAAATCTAGAATATTGTCATACTAGTAAAATATGCAAACTAAAAAAGGCTAAAAGAAATTATAAAATACCAGTATACAGGAGCACAGGCAAACATTCTAAAAAAAGATTTTCAGATACATAAAAATTAGAAGACTTGGCCATTGAAAACAGTAATGAAAATAATAAACATGTGGTACTTTAAATAATTTTCTTATTTAGAGAAGAATTTATGCATGCAGCTGAACAAGTCTAAATAGGTGGTGAAAGAAGTTGACATAGTGGAAGTGACTTGTAGCCGATGATAATTGGGAGGGAAGGGAGATAAACACTGAAAAGGACAATCACCAACATGATCTAAATAGGGTTTTGAAATGGTCAAAAGATTGACAGATGCAGTTTTATGGTGACAAATGTAATGTTTGGAGGCAAAGTAAGAAGAACCTTTCAAACTAAAGATGCTATACCAATGACGATACTTTTCAAGAAGCTAATGCTCTCTCTATAGTGGAATACTGCTGCACAATCACAGCCCCTTTCAAAACTGGAGAAATTGCTGACCTGAAGAGCGTGCAGAGATCCTTTAGTGCTAGAATCCACTCCGTAAAACATCTATTGGGAATGACTAAAATGCCTAAATCTGTATTCTCTTGAGTGCAGGCAGGAAGATATATAATTTACACGTGGAAAATACTAGAGGGGCTGGTCCCAAAACTGTACATCGAAATAACACCACACGAGACCAGAGGGCATGGCAGAATGTACTGAATACCCCCGTTGAAACACAAGAGGTGCAATAGGTTCTCAGTACTATTGTCAGAGGCCCAAGACATCCAAAAGCCTGGTTGACCAGTCCAGCAACCAGGAGGCCTGGTTGAGGACCGGGCCACGGGGCCGCAAGCCCCAAAATCATCACAAGGTAGGTAATGAGTGTTTCAAGATACTAGCTGGATAGCACAGATTGCAAAAGGGATCTGGGAGTCGATCAGTAAGAATTTAAAACCAAAAAGTAAATGCATAAAGGCTCGCAATAAGGCAAATAGGACACTAGGATATATTTCTCTAAGTGTTAGTAATAAAATGCCTGATGTTATTCTTCAGCTATATCTTGCTCATGTTAGGTCCCATTTAGATTATGCAGGCCACCATACTATAGAATTTATATAAATTCCCTGTAACACACTCAGTGTAGGATGACAAATCCCAAAAATTTGAAAACGTTCACATGAAAGATTAACAACGCCTAATTTAGTCTCTAAAAAGGCGAAGAATAAGGGGTAACATGATAGAGGTGTGCAAGTGAATGAAAGGCCTCAGTCAAAATTACATGCTAGCAGTAGGTTTACTATAGTAGCTTATATGACTTGCCTTCCTAGTGCCACCCCCTGGAGAAGTGTGTGGGGGGGCATAATAGGCCGATGACAGTTGCAACTAGTTCTCCACGACTGGTGTAAAATTAGCTTAAATGACCAATGGAATCCTGTACTTGAACCCGATACATACCTAACCTAACCCACATACATCATTAGTGTTCATAAACTAACGAACCTTGATTTGCGAGGTTAAAATAGATACTATACAGTAAAATTATATAACTGTGTAGCTCAACAAACTTTAATACCTATCTAACATAAGCCTCCGACAGATTGAAAAAAAAAGTTTGTCGGAACGCCAATGATCTGGCCAGTGCCTACCACATGCAAAATTTTGACCAGTCTAGTTGCTGCAACCTAGTCAAATCATACACCATTTCATACAGCTCATTTGAGACCCCAATATACTATTAAGAATGGCTGGGTTAGATAAAGAGTGGTGATACGTCGACAAACTGCCTCCCGTACATGCTCTGCAAATTCGGAACCATGCAAAGGGTACGCCATTCCAAAGTTGCATACGGAACTTTATTAAAAGGGTAGCCACCACATTACCACACAAAATCACCCATATATATATAATTCAGCGGCATATATCACATTATAAATGGCTACAAGGAGCATCACACACTAACAGCATCAACATGTAAACATCATGTGGTCACTACATTTTTTCCATTTTAAACCCTAACAAACGGTATTTCAGCATTAAATATACTTCAAAACATAGCCCCACAATGTTGTAAATGTCTTACGTTTGAAATAAAAGCCTTTAAATGAGCTTCACAGGTTAATATAACGCTAAAACCTCAACAACAGGAGCCATGGCGCCTTACCTACGGGTATCCGCGTGTGGGAAAGGAACACTCCGCTTCTCGGTCCAAGTGAACAAGTGAAACGGAACGTTCGCTTTCGATATTTTCTTAATGTTTATGGTATATTTACCTCATTTACTGGCCTAAAATATTTATATATTTTTTTACATATCTGTACTATATGCTTTTAATTTGGTTTTGGCATTGGTGACTGAGATTTATTATAATGATTAATATTATTTGACTGTGCGTGTGTTTCATGTCACCATGCAAAGCTGTGATTGGCTAAGCCGCCCAAGCTGGCAACCAATCAATGCTCTTTATGTTGGGTGCGTTCTACTAAATAGAGTTTCATTAGTTTATTTACAAAAATAAAATTTTTAGCGTGTAAATTTAATTTAATGATATTTTTAAATAAAAATTTTCATCTCCTTTGAATATATACATACTTAAAAGCAAATAATATACAAAAAATATGTATTCCTTAAACCTAAAAAAAAATACACTGAAACTGTACTGCAACTCTGAACGTGGCCACATATGGCGTAAGATAGGAAAAGTGCAAAAAATGTGCATCAATTTTGGATGATTGTCTAGTAAATAAGTAAGTGAACATTTAGCGCATGGTCCCACATTATAGCTTGAATTCTAACTATCCGTTTGAGCCGTGAGGATATGGGTGACAAGTCTTGGTGGTCCGAGAGGGAGTCAAGTTAATAGTGCCTCTGGACCGAGGAGTCCTAATCAACTCCAATTTTCACGTCTGCCTTTTACTCTTAATAATTACCTTACCTCCTTGCACATTTAATATACAATGAAAGTGCTCGCATACATTAAATAAGATACATTATACATTACATATTACATACATTATATATTAAATAAGGAAGTTATTCCCTCCTTAAATGTGCAAGGTGGTGAGGTGAACATAATTTCTAATCGGGTGAAATTCTTTTTTTTCTAATTAGGTGAAAATTATTTCTAACTTTGCACAAGCCAGTATGGTAGTTCCAGATGGCTCCGGCCAACTCCGCGCTGAACTAAAGCAACGGTATTAATGTAGGCTGATGTAACTTGGCGTTCATATGGGCCAATATGACCCAGCCTGACCTGACCTGACCTGACCTCTCACTCCCATTGGGAACTGTACTGTACTGTAGCAGTTACTCTTGATGGGATTACCTAAATTTTGTTCCTTTTATTTTTGTTCCTTTAACACTGCACCATGCAGCATATTAGAGTTGTGTTGGAGGCATAATGTAGCGTTAATGTGTGTGTTACAGAAATTAGCACTGAATAAAGGGCTGAAATTTGTTTTGTTTTTTACCTTAAACACTAAATTTATTGGTGTTTTATTTATTTATTTATTTCTACTGTATACATGAAGGTACACTTGGTTGTGAGAGTATATACCATTGGTGTTAGAACATTATATTCTTGCAAAGCCACTAACATACATAGCATTTTGGGCAGGTTTTGGGTTTATATATTATATATATTGTACTGTTTTTGTGCATTTTATATATACTATATAATATATATATATATATACACACACACATACTGTATATGTCATTGAATATGACCAAAAGGGTAAGATTAATGATTCTAACACGAATCTTCTCAATATTTCTTATGTTTTTCTTCACTGTCAAGGATATTTGAAAATTAACTTCAAAGTTCATTTTCACACTTTCTTTATGGTCTGACGCCTAGAAGCGTTTTGCAAGACACTTCTTACATTTTCAAAGACAATTTTACATACTCTGTTTCATGCTTATATTTGTTTTTGAGTGAGGCGATAGGACACAAATGTTTTCGGTTGAGGTGACAGGACACAAATCAATGGGTAAAGACTATTTTATATACTCAAAATAAAAATCGATGGGTACATTGCGTGTTTTATCTTGCTTGTGTTGGTTCAGGGTCCTGAAGTGACCAAGAAGTGATTTACAAGACCCCGAACCAAGACAATAGCCAGGTGGAGGGGGTCAATGAGTGCTCATCTTTTTACTATGCCGTATTTGCAGCTTGCAGACTCCGGGTGTACTTGAGAGAACTCAGATAATCAAGATCGAAGATCTAATTTTTGTGGGGTATCTGTATTTGCAAAACATTCGAAAGAATGGTCCTAAACCGTCTCCTCCATAGAATCAGAACCATGCTATCCCCCCAGATATATGGCTTCATGCATGGAAGGAGTGTGCATCATTGCATCACCACTTTTCTTACCCTGCACACTGAAAAGTCATATACCACCTTCCTAGATCTCAAGTCTGCCTCCTAGATCTCAAGTCTGCCTTTGATATTGCAAATAGACATGTTATCTTGAGTGAGCTTGCAAGAATGAATATTGGTGGTCGGCTTCTTTGTTGGATCAGGGGTTACTTATCCAACAGGAAGTCATCTGTATTTTTCCAGGGGCATAGGAGTGTAACAAGAGACTTTGAACTAGGTACCCCGCAGGGAGGTGTCCTCAGTCCTACCTTATTTAATATCTTAATAAACACGCTGTTAAACTCTGTACCAAGCAAACCCAATGTCCATATCATTAGCTATGCTGATGATATAATGATACACACCACTGGGTATGCTAACACGCAGAACGCTCTTAACTCTGTATTAGACTCATGTCAGGACCTAGGTTTAGTTATCTCAGCAGAGAAAACAAAGATACTAAATCGGCGCCCACCCAGGCAGGGAGGAGCTGTTCGCAAGATGCAACTGTCTGATGGCTCCCAGCTTGACTATGTAAACAGATTCAAATACCTTGGCCTTGAGGTGCCACTGTATGGTCCTGTTGTATTCAGACTCTGTCGTCAGTATAAAGAGAGGCTTCGAGCTCTCAATGCTGTTGCAGGTTATCACTCGGGCTATGGTGCCAATGTCAGAATTGTCAAAATGATGTACCTTGCATACATCAGATCTTTAGTGGATTATGCTGCACCTCTGCTTGTTTTGATGCCTGAAAGAAAGCTTGGAGGGCTTGAAAAATTGCAGTACGAAGCCTTGAGGATAATCCTTGGGTGCCCGCGTACCACAAAGATACTTAATATGAGAAAGGAACTTAATATTCTGAGCATTGTTGATCGTGTTACTGAAATTAACTGTCAAATTGATATAAAAATGCTTAGGCTAACTCATCCTAACCCTTGCACAGAAGCCCTCCAGAATTTCTTTATTGACGATCAGCATTGTTCCAAATGGATAACTAAAACTGGAACTCAACTCAGAATGTATCAGGTTCACAATTTGTACCAAGAGAAACAACAACGGCACTTTCCTGCACCGTGGGAGATTACACCCTTTCCAATTTTAATCCCTCCCTTTCCACCCAAGAAGCAAATTAGAGATCTGCCCAAGCTTCGTCTTGAAGCAAAGCTCAATGCCTTAAGCCATATTGATGCTCTGTCCACAGAGCATTCTCTCTCTCTGAACTCATATACACTGATGGTTCCCTACACCGCACCACAGGTGCAGCTGGAAGTGCAGTTGTTCTGACAATGGGCGATGGCTTGTACTTTGAGTGGGGAGTCTGTATAAATAACTGGGCCTCTACCCTTCAGACCGAACTATTTACCTTGATCCTTGCACTGAAATGTGTACAAGTCTCCAAACTTGATACATTAATTGTAAGTGACTCCTTATCATCCTTAATTGCTCTCAACTCTTTAAGACATAACTGTAACATGCTCATGCACATCTGTGTGATGTAAACCTGACCCCTGGCAAAGGAAGTGTCTTGCAACTCACCCCTTTGTTGCTCTTCTGTCTTTAAACCTCTTAAAACCTCTTTAAGGGTTATTTGGAATTTTTATGAAACTGTAGTAAGCCATTAAGTTTTCTACCAAAAACTAAGTTGTCTTGCATTTTTAGTAGCAGTTTTGGCTGGCTCCCATACACTACAGTATTATGTAACAATACAGTATTTTCAGGTTTAGATGAGCAAAATGAGTACAGATGAGACTACCCCTAAACTGACTGCTGGCCGTGGTGGGCGTGGTGCTGCTATATACAAAGCACTTTTATCTCTACCACGATATCCTGGCCAGACCACAGAGAAGACCGAGCCTTCTGCTGCTGTACCCCCTCTGTGTGTTGTAAGTAATTATAATGTACACCAACTTCTGCTCAAACCACCAATAAGACTGATTCATGATTAAAAATTAAAGATTCAAATAGACTTTGACTAGTTTTTAAAATAAACCTGACAAATATAAAAAATACAGTATAATACTCTATGAAATGAGGAAGTAAACTCTATTTTCCATTGTTAAGGGTAGGAAATCAGCTACAATTACCGCAGCCCAGTGGTTCCTAAACATTTTCTCTGGGCTACACTTTTGGAATAAAAATTTGCTTGTACCACACCAAATTTTTCGATAATATGAAATACATTCTAAACAAAGAAAAAAATAGTTCCTTTTAAAAAATAAAATAAAATAAAATAAAATGTTTATTTAGGTAAGGTACATACAAGAGATTTTACATAAATTGAATGATTTATAGATAGAGCTAGTACATACAATGCCTAAAGCCACTATTACGCAAAGCGTTTCGTGCAGGAAAAACATTAAAGACTAAAACTTAATACTAATTGAGTATAAAGAATAAAATGTGTTGAGAACAAATAAAAATAAAGGTAAAAAAGGGGGAACATGGCTGAAAAAGCAGCACAAATACAATTAGGTAGACAAACAGCGTTGTTTAAGAAAACAGACATGGGTGGACAATAGAGGGGTAAGGTAGGTTACAGGGAATTTATTAGGTTGTGCTTTGTTTTTATCTTAAACTGGTTGAGAGAGGAACCGAACCATGTTGTCTTTAACATGGTTCGGAAGGTCATTCCACATTCTGGGACCCTTGATTTGTAGAGCATTTCTAGTTTGATTAAGTCGAACTCTTGGAATATCAAAACTGAATTTATTTCTGGTGTGGTGCTCATGGGCTCTGTTACAACCTTCAATGAAGCTTTTGAGGTCAGGATTGGCATTACAGTTCAGCGTTTTATATATGTATAATACACATGAGAGAATGTGCAGTGACTTAATATCTAACATACTAATTCAGAGATTTTAGTAGGGGTACCGAGTGAAGTCTGGGGCCAGAGTTGGATATTGTCCTAATAGCAGCCTTGTGTTGAGTAATTAGAGGACGTAAATGATTTTGGGTGGTAGAACCCCAAGCACAAATACCATAGTTGAGATATGGATAGATGAGGGAGTAATAAAGCGTCACCAGGGCCTGGCGGGGTACATAATATCTGATCTTAGAAAGAATGCCAACAGTTTTTGAAACTTTTTTTTATACATTTAGAATGTGTCCCTGAAAATTCAGCTCGTGGTCAATGAGAACGCCAAGGAATTTGCCATCTAATTTGTTACAAATTTGGGTATTGTTTATTCTGAGATTTATTTGATTAGAGGATTTATTGCCAAACAGAATATAGAAAGTTTTGTCAATGTTAAAGGTGAGTTTGTTGGCAGTTAGCCATAGATGGACTTTATTTAGCTCAGTATTTACTGTGGCATTTAGAGCAAGGGGGTCAGGACTGGAGTAAATGCTTGATTCATAGCATGTTAGTGCTTGATTCATAGCATAAAATACAACTATTTTATATTATGATCATGGGATATCCAGAAAATATAAAACAATGCAGCTAAATAAAACCATGATTTATTCCCTAAATCTATATTATAAGAAAGTCTGTCTGTTCAAAGTTGGAGACCGGATGCTTGGACCTAGCTTCACCCAAATTGACAGCGTATACAATAACTATAATTGCATTGAATTATGAGTATTGTGTTCTTCAATTTATCTTTTTATCATTAATTTGCCTTTCAATCAGTCAGGGGGTGAAGATGTACAAGTTGCTGGTGCCACTGCCCTCTGCTCACCACGTAGTGATGAAAGCAGTGTCACTAGTGTTCCTTCAGTTGGCAGCAGCCGGGGAGCAATCATCAGTCAGCTGATGAAGCGTCGAAGTTTCACGACTTCGTCCCCTATTGCGACACCAGTTACTAGCTCAGCTGAAGTGAAAGAAAAGATATGTCCAGAACCAGTTGTGGCCAGAGGTCGAGCAGAGTTCTTCCGTTCTCATTTTATGGGCCTTACTAAAACGCAGCCATTGTGAGTAAAGTTTATTTTCTTTCTCTTGTGCAGTAATGTGGTACTTATCCATCAGTACCTGCCTATCATTGACTATGGTGAAGTGATGTCTAGTTCTTCTTGCCTAACCTACCAGCCTAGTTGTACCCATTGCATTATAATTTAAGTATTCTGATGTTCGAATTCTATGATGAATCTGGCCTTAATGTTGCGGATGAAGGTGGCTTCCACAAATTCTTTTTTAGTGCAGCATGTCTTTGTTTCATTTGCATTTTTACCATATGTCTATGTTCACTAGTAGTAAATAGGTACCCAGGAGTTAGGGAACTGTTGTGAGTGCATCCTGGAGTAGGTCTGTAGTTCGATTTAGGGAGTCCTCGATACAAGCCTAAATTATATAAAGTATATACACAAGCTGCTTGTCCCCGACAAAACAGATTACTGTACTGTAGTATTATTTGATACCTTCTGGTCTTATTTTTCTCTTTTCCATCTTCATTATCTAACACTTTCGATTGAACCCTTGCAACCATTTGTTGGCCCATTCAGAGTTTGATGTCATTCTGTAACTTTCTGCAGTCCTTAGTTTTTACATTTCTCATTTGCTTTGTGTCTGTGCAAGCGCTGGCATATGTGAGCTCACTTCCTCAGATAGGACATTCTCATAAATTAGGAACAACAGGGGGTCCTAAGACTGATCTTTTGAGAACACCATTGATTACTTTCCTCCAACTCGAAACCTCATCACTCACAGTAGCGCACTGTTTTCTGTCGTTCAAGTTGTCTCTTAACCAGCTCAGTGTCTTCCCAGTTATCCTGTCTTGCTGCTCTATCTATTATTAATTAATTATGAATTATGCCAGTTTTTCATGAGAACCAATACCTTACCTTCTGTATCAAATGTTTTTCACAATCTAGGAAAATAAAGTCTACCCAGCCTTCTTTAACTGTCTCTCTCTTCTTGTCATAGAAATCTATGAAGATTGTCAGGCATGACTCTTCCCTGCTAAATCTGTGCTGTACTTTTGCTACAAAGTTTATCCTTTCTACCACCAACTCTGCTTCGGTGGATGCTTTGTGGGTTGATCCTGTTTCTTTGGTTCCCTTGTTCCAAGGCTCGTGTGTCTTGGGTCATCTGCAGTGTTATTAATTATTAAGTCTAGCCAGCCTGAGGTTTACCCTTATGCCCATGATGTTTGGAAGTACTGTACTGTATGCCAGTGTTTGCTAATGTGTCCTGGGAGGATTTTTGGGTATGGGGTTTTTGCAGGTCTGGAAGTACTGTACTGTATGCCTGTGTTTGCTAATGTGTCCTGGGAGGATTTTTGGGTATGGGGGTTTTGCAGGTCTAACAGGGTTCTGGCAACCCAGTATTTGATGAATGTTCCCACGCCTTGGCGTCTTTGTGTGGCCTTGGGTTGTCTCTCTTATCCAGGGATCTCTTCATCTTGACTTCTTCAGTTCTCTCTCCTCCCTTGTAAGTTCCCATGTGTTCTTCATTCTCCGTGTGTAATTAGCTTCAAGATAGCTACAAAGATAGACCAGGCCCAATAGTGCCCGTGTTGCTGGTGGAATGTCTTTGATGCAGGTGTATCACCACTTGTGTGGTGATCAGTTGGCTTCTTTGATGGTGTCCCACCTGCGAGCTATGGCTCGGTGACAGTATGAAGTTTCCTGGCGTTCTTTTGACCATTTTCTCTTTGAAGGTTGTCTTCTAAGTATTTTCGATTGGGTTGTTTTGTACTTTCTTTCCTGGCGTTTTTAGGACTGTCATTTGATGCCCAATACTGTCACCTCTTATCGTGTGGTGCTGGTAGAGCCGCTCCCACATTGTGTTTGGGGTGGATGTCACTTCAGCCACGTTTCTCAAGCTTTCTTGTGCGTTATTTCACCTCTGGCCTGTTCATGTGCCACCTGAGCCCTCCTGGTCCTTGAACTGGGTGCTCTCTTTTCTCTCCCCGCCTCAGTTTGTGGTGGCCCCTTCAGTTCAAGATTGTTTTTCCAAGGCTCTGTTTCTGTTGGCATTAGTGTCTGAGGGTCGGGTTGGTGAGCTTCATGCTCTCCTCTGATTCAGGGGTTTCTGCTTCTTCAGTCTTGGTAGTTGGTTTATTCGGTTGCAGCCGTCTCCTTCTTTTCTGGCGAAGAAAGACATGGTGGTCTTCCGGAGGGGCCCTTGGGTCATTGATGCTTGGTTGGTCAGGCCGGGGTGCATCATGTGTTGTGTCCGGTTGCAGCTGTTCGCTGTTACCTGCGTGCCTCGGCTTCTGTGGCCGGGGACTTGCTTTGGGTTGATCCGGTTTCCCTTGTTCCCTGTTCCAGGGCTTGGGTCTCCCAGATCGTCCACAGGGTTATTAAGTCTAGCCAGCCTGCGGTCTACCTTCGTGCCCATGATGTTCGTAAGTTTGCTGCATTGGCTGCCGTGTTTGGCAACATGTCTTGGGCTGACATTCGGGCGTGAGGGGTTTTGGAGGTCGAACAGGGTCCTGCCTGCCTGTTATCTGGTCAATATTCCTTGTCTAGGTCGTTCATGTGTGGCTTGGTCGCAGGTTGCAGCCAGGTGTCTCGACTTCGAGTTATGTGCGTGGGGTGGCTGCCCCCCGAGTAAGTCTCTCTTTTACTTGTCTTTGGTTAGATAGCTTCAGGGAGCCGGTGGGGCTTCCCACAGAAAGCCAGCATTGAATGTAATGAAACACCATTATCTGGGTGAGCTCCGAGACTCCCTGGCACCCTCCCTCCCACCGGTTGGCGGTTTGCATTTTGTTTTTGATTCTCAGCCTCCGAACTGGAGGTGTGAGTAGCAGCCACAGGGGGTCTGGCCCCCCCCCCCCTTCTCTGGGAGGGGAGGGCTGTGCAGACAAGCAAAGTGGCAGTGGTGAATGACATTTGCTTGTTTGTTTCCGTATGTTTGGAGGAAGTTCTGTCTCTCTTTTCAGTTTTCAGTCTTTGGTTGCAATTTCTTACCAGGTGGGGTCTGTTTTGTTATGCCTACTTTTCTGGGTGCCTAACCCCAGACTAATATTGTGTATATCAGTCCGATAGCTCCAGGGAGTCTCTGGGGCTCACCCAGAAAATGGTGTTTCATTACATTCAACACTGGTTTTTTATTGCTATTTGATGTCCTCATGGGACATTGCATTTCCTATAACATGTGTCAGTTATATTTAAGTTTTTTCCATAATGTGTAGATGTTTTTCCACCCTTTCTTCTAATGCTACTCATCTGTACTGGGCTAGTTTGATTTTCCCCTAAGGATAGTTCCTGCTGGTCCATCACCAATTTTCCTAGGGAAAGGGGTGTTTGTTTTTCATCACTCTTGCCTGTTGCTTTAGTTGAGTTCCTCGATATTCTGGCTTAACCGACTGCTAAGCTGTATTGCATCCATTCGTCCCTTCCACGCATTCATTTGTGTGGAACGGACCTGCGCCCCTTGCACACGTGAAATAATCTAGAAAATTTTCTGGCTATCTCAGTGACTGGAATACCCAGTAGTGACACGAGTTGACTTGAAAGGCTTCTGCCACATATCGCAGCAGGTATTCCATGTGTGCTACATTTGTTTGTGTGTGAAACTTTTTAGAGAAGTTGAGCAATCATAGTCAACCGTAATTATTGTGCATGCATTAATTAGTACATTATTGGCCTCCTTGTATTGAAAATATGTTTTCATTCTGTCTCAATTCCTGTAGTGTCATTAGGAATAGTATCTTGCCAAATGTCATTTAATTTAACTATTAATTGATTTGTATTGCCTTGAATGAGAGAGTTCATCAGATAAACCTGCAAGTTCTTCTTTAGGAACCCATTACTGGTCATTACTGGTCATTCTTGTTGAATACATACAACCAACACCCTTTGTTTCCATGTAAGAAGAGTAGTGTAAATGAATCCTAATACAACTCATTAATGCTTTTATTTGTAAATCACACTTGCTCTATTCAAATAAAGTTTGATGCCAAACCCACCATCAGCAGATATCCTTATTTAGGTTGGTACTGGAGATATGACTCAAGTGATGACCAAATGGTACTGATCATTATGCTTAGTGCAAGGCTCTCCCACTTGGTAAGCCTAGCATGAAGACACACAAGGATGCGTTTCTCAAGCTAACTGTTGCTCTAGGTGCTACTATATTTATTGCACTTGGGAGGTGGGGCTCAAACTTGATAGTTTCATTTTGTCATGATTGCTTTGTGAAAGTGTGGTGAGAATTCTGAACGGTATGACAAATACAATGCTGTAAATACTTCTGTTGAGAAAGTGAGTTAAAGGATAGTTCACTACAGTAATGATAATATGGCCAGTAACTCTTGATTTTCTGAGATAATTCATTGGGTTTTTTCCTAAACAGTTTAATTGAAAGAATCATATAATTATGTTTCATTAAAGTTTCAATTCCTCATCTGTGTATTCTGTTAGCCATTTATGTATGCAGTTATATGCCTACAGTATATGTCCAGTTAGCCATCTGTGTCTCGCACTTTCCATTAACTGTCGGTCATTTTTATATTCTTATATATTTTCACATTTTTATTAGGAAATCAGATTCTCAGGATTTGAGTGATAAATTATCGTTAACTGAGAGTGTCCAACATTTAAACATCACAGACACCAAGGATGATGCAGTCATTCGCCAGGGAACCACCGGAACAAAGTGAGTTTTCCCTTGAGCTCTTAACTTTCTTTACTTGTTAAGCCATTTATTATTGCTGTAGTGTGTGCTCAATATCATTCTCTAACATGTTATTTTAATATTTTATTTTATTTTTACAGTATCCCTTTAAATAACCTAGGAGTTATATTATTGTTACAGAGTTTGCCTCTCAGGCTGACATAATGTCTCTAGTAGCTTTTGCCTCTGTGAGAGCTTTTAAAGTGTCAGGTGTTCTGAGCTATTCCATTCTGTTGCTTCTTGAGGTCAAAAAAATAGGGGCTTGTGAATAATCTTAGTATTAATTCACTGTCATTTACATATTTTTAATTTATTCATAACCACCTTATAACCCTCTTTATGGGACAACAGTATTCCACATTTTCTATCACTTGGAAAATTTTAGACTTTAACCCTTAAGCTGTGTAAAACCTCATATGATGTGTGACATTGAGCTCAGTTTTTAAAATTTTCTGAAACTCTTTCAAATGTTTGTGAATAATCTACTAGGCAAATGCTCCAACTTTGTCTAAATGATACCAGTGTAACTTGAAAAACAAGAAAATAAAAAAAATGATAAAATTGAATATTGAAAACTTCAGATTTTGAAATCGGCTGCAAAAATATAAAAATATTACCAATTGCTCATTTGGTGGTGTTACGCTCTCAGGATAGCATATGATCTTCATTTTCATACATTTAGAATATAGGTTTTCAGTATAGTTTACTGTAAAAAAAAAATTGTCAATATGGCATTTGAAATATGCGCAAATTTAGACACACAAAATTTATAACTCCAAATGTTTTAGAGTTTATGAAACATCATTTCTATAGGGATTGTAGACCAGACAGCTGTGCACACTATATGTAAAAATGGTGAGAATCGGTCAGAAACTAGATTTTTGGATACTGAAGTAAGTTGAAATTCTAGTTAGAGATATAATTGAAGTTGAAGTTACTAACAATGAATAAGGCAGTTGTCATTCATGAATTTACTTGTATGTTTTAATAAACATTGTTTGGCATTTGTACTGGAATATGTGAAAGTTGTAGGTCAATGTATGCAGAAATGAAGTCAAGAAAAAATAACCCTGCAATAAAACAAAATATATGGATAATTATAATAATTGTAATGATTTAGGGAATATATTTAGGGTATACTTTATATAAGTAAAAAAGCCCTAATCTGGTCTCTAATCATCAAAACAACCTAAAGAAACAAGCAAAATAGTTCAAAATCTGTGAAAAAATAAGAAAAAAAAAATTCAAAGTCCCAAGTTCTGAGCTTTGTAACTGATTTATTTGTTGACCAATTTAATTCTGGCTTCACATAGTTAGGGACGAGTATGCATTCTCCAAGATGTAAAGGTTAAAACAAATTCAATAAACAAAGGAGGAAAAAACCTAAAACCCTAAAAAAAAAATTCCTATAAAAAATTTTTTTGGGACATTGTTGAAAGTAACTGATAATAACATTGGGCAATGTATTTATATGATATATAACAAAATAGAGCATAATAATATAATTACTCATTGTTATTTATGTAATTATGTATTACTCCCCAATGCTATAAAGGCACCAGCTGTATATCCACTTTGTGGACACTTCTTACTACTATTCATCTTTGTGCATCAGACAGGTGCTTGCATCTTTCTATTATTGCATTATTCATCAGTTCCAGTTAATAGGAGCTGTTCTCTTAATCAACAAAATGTTCTTTCTGGGGGAAGCCCTGTCAGCTCCCCGAAGCTATCCAGACTGAATGGATATGTATCTTTATGGCATCAGTCAATGCATGGAGTTCTTGCCTACCGGGGACCACGAGCCAGAACCTGGTCCCCTCGAGAGAGGCACGAGGAGCAATGGCCTATAGAGACCCCCCTATGGTTGGGAGCATTCTATGTCTGCCATCGACCGGGACAGGCACCTAGAAAGGTAGGTACCCCAAAACAAACCTCTATTCAGGTAAAACTATTGCGACCGAAAGCTGAACAAGTGGACAGAACTCCCCAAACGAAAATTAGCAAACTAGCATGACGTCATCATGTCGCCCCACCGCTGTCTGCGCAACCCCCTAGGGGAGGGGGAGCTCCAGACCCACCCGCTGGCGACCCAATCTTCAGTTCTTGGCTGATGGAAGTCTGGTGCAGTCGTGCCTCTGGCTCCGCTTTTTGTTTCAGTTCTGTGTCTTGTAGTGTGGGCTGTCTCTACAGGTGGTGTATAAGCCAGGAGACATATTCCACGGTACTCGGGCTGCATGCGCCTAGGGTTTCCTTCCCTAGGTGCCCTGTAAGTACTGCCCCTTGGGGCCTCCTTCCACAAGACACCTTGGGTTCTGCCTCCGCTGTGCCATTTACTGCTTGGTACTTGGCTGCGCTTGGGAGTCAGCTCGAATTTTTCTTACCCTTGTTTGTCTCTGGGTAGGGGGTAGTTTTCGTCACTGGTAGGGGCACGAGGTACTGCACAGCTAGTTTTCACCAATGACAGTGGCCGGCTCTGTTCCATCTGGGTACGTTGTCCTCTTGTGGGATTTTTTATTTTTTTTGTTTTCTGTCGGGTGGGGGGGGGGGGTCTGCTTTTGTGGTCCTCCATCGCTGTTCTTGGGGTTAGTATATACAGTATGTATTTCTGTGTTTGGTGGTCCTGCCCGCTTGGCCCCCATGTGTGGACACGTCCCGGGCTCAACTTCAGCAGTTTGGTAGACTTGGGCGCCGGTTTGCAGTACTCTGCCTGGGCTTCCCTTAGCATGTAACTATGGCTAAGGGCCTTGGGAAACCCAACAGGGATTCCGTGGTCCGATGGATGTGACCCCCCTGAATAACCCCTCACATCTTGTGAGTTTGAAGGTTGCTGTCCCCTTGTCTCAGGGTGACACTCACCGATTTTGCCTCCGCCATGCTGCCTGTTGGGTCGATGTTTGTTTTGATCCGGAGTCGTGTGACATGTGTTGCCTGGACGTACTCCCATTCACCCAAGCCACTGATAATAATATGCGGGTGCAGGGAGCTGCGGCGTTGCATGTTAGGTTTAGGTTGCTGCAGTGCTCTAGGTTGGTTGTGGCCCCAGATGCCCCGAGATTACCCCGTTTTGCTTATAGGGGTCTGGACTTGGGGTGGGAGTCGTTTTGGCTCCGGTTCCATCTGCTCCTCCTCGTCCTTTCCTTTCTGTTGTGCATACCTCCTACCCCTTGCTTCCGGCTCCGAACCGTATGCTGGTTTCGGGGTTGGGGCGGGGTCTGGTTGGGTTGAGACTCGGGTGGTCTCGGGGGTTTCCCTCTTCCGGGGTGGCGGCGGAGGCATTTGAGCCTGTTCCTCCAGCCGTGCCGTATGGGTCTGACCAGTGGGCCTCCTTCCTTAGTGTTTTGTACAGCTGCCCCGGCTTTTACTTGTGGGGCTGGGGCTTTGGGGGAACGACTCGACCCCAGGTCCTGCCGTAGGGGTTCCGGGTTGGGGAGGGGTTGCCTGGGGGGCCTAGGCCCCGTTTTGCCCCGCTTGGGTTTTTGTATCCTCGGAGTGGGGCTTGCAGTTCCTATGAGTGGGGTTTTTCTCTTTCCCCCTCTGCGTTCGTGGTGGTCTCGGGTCTACCCCTCCCTGGGTTCGGTTTCGTGTCCCTTCGGGTCTGTCGGTTCCGTCCTTCCTGGGGGTGCTTTTCACCCCTTTCCTCTCCTTTTTTGCACTCAGGCCGCATTGCTGTTCCCTTTGTTTTGGGATCCCTGTACACCCCTTGGTCTGGGGTGTCTTTGGGCCAGCATGTGCCTCCATGCGTTTGTGCTTGCTTGTCACAGTTCTCGTTGGTTCGCGAATCTCTATGGTATTTCCAATATTATTGGAACGTCTGTTGACTTCCAGTGAGGTTTCCCTCCAGTCCTTTTTTTGTGTTCAATTCGTTTCTCTATCCTGTTTCGGCATTCCTCATATTCGTTACGTACACCTTTCTGGTGTATGTACGATGTGTACATACGACTGGTGTACAAACCACGCCGCCCGGAAGACCGGCGGTGTGGTTCGTACCTCGGGCACTGGGGCCGGGGTGATCGTTTTGTTTCTGGATGGTGTACATGTGTGTTGGTGTTCAGCGTTCTTTCTTGCGGATTCTATGCTGTTTTCGTTCCTCTTATCTCCGGTCATAACCCCCTGGATACTCGGGGTGTTCTGGAGCGAGTGTGGGGCGGCTCTTTGAGTGGTGCCGCCTCCGCCTCTGTACTGCATGCACCTCGTCTTCTCCTACTGGTTACGCACCTCTGGACGTTCTCCACTAGGGATGCTCCTGTTCCCTTGCATGGCTCAGCTGTGTCGTGACACTGTGTCTGTTTCGCAGGTGAGATTACCTGGTTGATACTGGTTGATGTGGTTCTGGGAGTTGTTCTACTTCCCAAGCCCGGCCCGAGGCCAAGCTTGACTTGTGAGAGTTTGGTCCACCAGGCTGTTGCTTGGAGCGGCCCGCAGGCCCACATACCCACCACAGCCCGGTTGGTCCAACACTCCATGGAGGAAACAATCTAGTTTCCTCTTGAAGATGTCCACGGTTGTTCCGGCAATATTTCTTATGCTCGCTGGGAGGGTGTTAAACAACCGTGGACCTCTGATGTTTATACAGTGTTCTGTGATTGTGCCTATGGCACCCCTGCTCTTCACTGGTTCTATTCTGCATTTACTTCCATATCGTTCATTTCAGTACATTGTTATTTTACTGTGTAGATTTGGTACTTGGCCCTCCAGTATCTTCCACGTGTATATTATTTGATATCTCTCTCGTCTTCTTCCTAGTGAGTATATTTGGAGGGCTTTGAGACGATCCCAATAATTTAGGTGCTTTATCGCTTGATCAACTTTTTAGGTTTATTCTAAGTATTGATGGTCGCGATTCTGTCGGTCGGGTGCTGGTTCTCTCTGTTTGATGGGGTACTCACCTTGTAATACTCCCCTAGTTGTGCTTGAGGGGGTTGAGCTCTGGCTCTTTGGTCCTGCCTCTCCACTGTCAGTCATCAGGTGCACAGATTCCTGTGCCTACTGGGCTCTATCTTCTCTACATTTGAGACCGTTTATGGAGTCTGCTTCCATCACATCACTTTCTGGTGCATTCCACTTACTGCTTCCTGACACTGAGAAAGTTCTTTCTCGTGTGTCTGTGGCTCATTTGGGTTCTCAGCTTCCGCCTGTGTCCCCTTGTTTGTGTGCCACCTGTGTTAAATAATCCATCCTTGTCTACCCTATCGCTTCCCCACTTGACAAGGTAGCATCATTGACACCTAACAGGGGTGTTAGGTGTTGTGTGTTTTGCTTGGACACTTTGCGTGTGTCTTACAGTGCCTACCGTGTCTGTGTATCTTGTTCTTCATGGTACTGTGGGGCACTGCCCCGCATTTTGGTGATTTTTGTTTAGTTTTCGACGCCTGGGTCTTTTCTCATTACTTGGACACACTTCTGTTCCCCCGGTCCGTGCTTTGTGTCCTCCTTCCTTGACTCGGTCTTTGGTCGCTGGACACTCTCCTTCCTTGCCTACCTTCGGTGTCTGAGTGCACTCTGATATATATCTTGAGGTTATCTTGAGATGATTTCGGGGTTTTAGTGTCCCCGCGGCCTGGTCCTTGACCAGGCCTCCACCCCCAGGAAGCAGCTCGTGACAGCTGACTAACACCCAGATACCTATTTTACTGCTAGGTAACAGGGGCATAGGGTGAAAGAAACTCTGCCCATTGTTTCTCGCCAGTGCCTGGGATCGAACCCGGGACCACAGGATCACAAGTCCAGTGTGCTGTCTGCTCGGCCGACCGGCTCCCCTATAGGGTGTCCCTTTGTGTATGTGTGACCACCCATGACACACGTTGTGGTTGGTCGTGTACGTTGCATTGCCGGCTGCTACTTGGTCCGTATTCTGGACTTTTCCTTGCCTATTTCCGTTTCCCCCCCCCCCCTCTCTGCTACGCGTGATGTAATTACCTAAGTGTAATTACCTAAGTGTAGTTACAGGATGAGAGCTACGCTCGTGGTGTCCCATCTTCCCAGCACTCTTTGTCATATAACGCTTTGAAACTACTGACGGTCTTGGCCTCCACCACCTTCTCACCTAACTTGTTCCAACCGTCTACCACTCTGTTTGCAATGTGATGCAAACATCATACACGCATCACATTGCAAAGTGATGTACCAATGTGCATCACAGCGTGTGATGCACATTGGTACATCACACGCTGTACCTAAAGTGAATTTTCTTATATTTCTTCGGCATCTGCGTTTAGCTAGTTTATATGTATGACCTCTTGTTCTTAAAGTTCCAGGTCTCAGAAAATCTTCCCTATCGATTTTATCAATTCCAGTTACTATTTTGTATGTAGTGATCATATCACCTCTTTTTCTTCTGTCTTCTAGTTTTGGCATATTTAATGCCTCTAACCTCTCCTCGTAGCTCTTGCCCTTCAGTTCTGGGAGCCACTTAGTAGCATGTCTTTGCACCTTTTCCAGTTTGTTGATGTGCTTTAAGATATGGGCTGAATCTTTGTCAGTGTTTATTGGCTATACTGTTGTTAGGTGCTGGGGTGGGCTTCTGTCCATGTTCAGTTCCTTGATTTTGGACTACCCCAGTGTTCAGTTTTGGTACTGAGTTCAGTTTTTCCTTGTTTCTTCCTGCAGGCTTCTGTGTTGCAATGTCTGCGGGAGGTTTTGAACTTCCGGTCGACCGCTCCTGCCCTCCTGGTTTATTTTTTTGGGACAGGGGTAGCTTGGATTCCGGTCCTGGCTACTGCTTTTCTTTGTTCCTTTTCTGGAACGTGTGTTTTTGTTTTCTTGCAGTACACTTCCTGCATAGTTCTCTTCCTGTATACCTCAGACGCGTGCGTCGTTCTTCCCTGCTGGAGCTGGTTGTGCTGCTCCTTAGGGTTGCGGGGTCGCTGTTTTTCGCTTCGCTCCTTGCGTTTTAGTTCGTGGTGCTAGTTTTCCTCGTTGGCCACTCCCTGGGCCCTGGCTCTTCGGTGTATGGCCTTGTTGGTCTTTCGAGGGTCCTGGGGGAAGGGTTTCTCCCGGACTGGGCGTTTCTGCTTGCCCGGGTTGGTTCCATTTCGGCTCGTCGGGTTTGGGTTCCTGGTTCCCTGGCGGCCATTCCTTCTGGTTTTTGCCAGCCTTGGTTGGGGCTTCAGAGTTGAAAGTAATGAAACGCCATTTTCTGGGTGAGTCCTGGCGGCTCCCCGACATCCCTCCCTCCGATCGGCATTGTTTTTCATGCTTTTTGACATCCAACCTAAGAATTGAAGGTTAGGTCGCCGGCGGGTGGGTCTGGTGCTCCCCCTTCCCCCTCCCGGGGAGGGGGGGGGCTTGCGCAGACAGCGGTGCGGCGACATGATGACGTCATGCTAGTTCGCTAATTTTCCTTTGGGGAGTTCTGTCCACTTGTTCGGCCTTCGGTCACAATAGTTTGACCAGAATAGGTAGGTTTGTTTTGGGGCTTCTACCTTTCTGGGTGCCTGTCCCGGTCGATGGCAGACTTAGAATGCTCCGAACCACAGGGGGGTCTCTATAGGCCATTGCTCCTCGTGCTTCTCTAGAGGGGACCAGGTTCTGGCTCGTGGTCCCCCATAGGCAAGAAGGCCATGCATTGACTGATTCCAGAATGATATACATATCCATTCAGCCGGGATAGCTCCGGGGAGCCTCCGGGACTCGCCCAGAAAATGGCGTTTCATTACATTCAATGCTGTTTTTTTTTTTTTTAATGTTCGTCTAAAATCAATTTCTGAAAATGTTTTGATGAAAGTTTCACGAAGCTGAAGCCAATAAGTTGGAGATTTGTTAACATTGTAAAGTAATTTTTACATAATTCGAATATTTTTTGAATTATACCTTCTTCAGTGTCACACATCATATGACGTTTTGCGCAGTTTAAGGATTAAACTTGCAGATTTTAAAGGTTGTAATAAACAGAAACTTTCTGCTTATTTCAGATTTTCTGCCATGACAAACTGGATTCGGCTGTCTATCGAGGAAAATAAAGCTGTTTTTGAATATGAGGTTAAATTTGAACCACCAATTGATGCACTAAATTTACGCTTCCGCCTTTTAAATACCATTAAAGATGAGATTGGTTCGGTGAAGAGTTTTGATGGATCTATATTGTGGCTGCCCATTAAACTTCCCAATGAGGTTTGTTACAAATACAATTACTGTACAGCATTAACCCTTAGGCTGTGCATCCCATTGGAAGAAGGGGTGGCCAATTATGCTGAGTGTGTGCATCCTGTCAGGGCAAGTATTAAGGTGCAGCATAAGATTTTAAAATTCCCAAAGGTACACAGGGCTTGCATTAGCTTTCTGAGGTCTCCAGTAAACAGATGCCATCTTGAAACAAAATTGTGGACACCGTTCCAGGGTGTGAGTGCATCAGTACTGAGTGAGCAACCAAGGCTGGCACATGCAGCATTGAGCTAACAGCACTGCTGCTCAGTTTGTGACAACAGCATCACTTAAAAATGACGAAATATATAAGTAGCTGCTATTATTTTGTGATAGTATCATAGAAGAACCTGACAGTAATAAAGACTATGTACAATGTTCAGGTATCAGTGAACATAATGCTGTTCATGATGTTCACAGTGTGGTGCAGAACCACAGCACTCGGCCATTGTTTGGCGCATCTACGTATCATGAAACGACCTCATACTCCTTTAGAAAATAAACTTGTGCAAAATGATTCATATTCAGGATTTGCTGGCCAGGATGCTGATAATAATAGCAACATTGTGCCTACAATTAGTGAATGTGTGCAGTACATCGTGACGCATTCTGCGTCGTCATACTGCTTTGTCTGGTGGGATATTCTGACAGTAGCGTATGTACACTTTCCTTGGTCATTGCCATACTCACCAGACCAACTTAGTGGGTCATAATTGTGCATGAAAATGCATATAATTATACATAAAGTGTGTATACAGTGTAATAACAGAAAAAACGAATGTTTTATTGCTCAAAGCAAATAATATAGTACACATCTTAGAGACAAATATATCTGTGTGTATCTGTAAGATACAAATAACATTATTGACAACCCATTGTATCGTTGCTCTTGAATAAGCCATGGTAAAACATAAGAAATACTGAGAAAATATTATATATTCAATGTGCCCAGTTAAAATGTCATGCAAACCATGCAGGCTAGGCTGAGCTGTGAAATGCATTTTATGAGATTACCACACCCTGATGAACAGCTTAGTGGCTCATAATTGTACATGAAAATGTACATACCGTAGTTACGTGTGAAATGTGTATACAGTATAATAGCACCAAAAACAGAATGTTTCATTGTCCAAAGCAAATAATACAGTGTGCAACTCGGTGACAGGAATATATTTAAGCATTCTGATGTTCAACATATTTTATTATATAATTATCTCAAAAGATACATTAATGAATAATATTACTGAAACAAAAGTCAGAAAAAAGGTAATCAAGAGACATTGGAATAAATACAATTGTCTTTGCAGCAATTCCTGCGTCACGACTGGCTCGGGGCGACCGCCTTGTGGCAATTGTTCATTGAAAGCTCATGAATCATGACACCATCACAAGACTTCCAGGCTTTGCAGTAGCCAAATTAAATCGCATACAATTTTGTATTATTTTCTAGGGGGAGCCCCTACGGCTTCCTGGAGCTTATCCAAGCTGATATGGATATGTTAGATTTTGGCATCAGTGTGAATGAAGTTCTTAGGCCTACTGGAGACCACGAGCCAGAACCTGGGCCCCCCCCCCCTCAGAGAGGCACGAGGAGCAATGGCCTATAGAAACCCCCATGTGGTTGTAAGCATTCTATGTCTGCCATCGAATGGGTCAGGCACCCAGAAAGGTAAGCATCCCAAAACAAATCCCTATTCTGTTTAAGAAATTGCTACTGAAAGCCAAACTAGTGAACAGAACTCCACAAACAAAAACAAGCAAACGAGCATGATGTCACCACATCACTGCGCCGCTGTCTGCGCAGCTTCCCCCTCCCTGGGAGGGGAAAAGGGGAGCCCCCCAGACCCCTTGTAATTACCTAAGTGTAATTACCTAAGTGTAGTTACAGGATGAGAGCTACGCTCGTGGTGTCCCGTCTTCCCAGCACTCTTTGTCATATAACGCTTTGAAACTACTGACGGTCTTGGCCTCCACCACCTTCTCACTTAACTTGTTCCAACCGTCTACCACTCTATTTGCGAAGGTGAATTTTCTTATATTTCTTCGGCATCTGTGTTTAGCTAGTTTAAATCTATGACCTCTTGTTCTTGAAATTCCAGGTCTCGGGAAGTCTTCCCTGTCGATTTTATCAATTCCTGTTACTATTTTGTATGTAGTGATCATATCACCTCTTTTTCTTCTGTCTTCTAGTTTTGGCATATTTAATGCTTCTAACCTCTCCTCGTAGCTCTTGCCCTTCAGTTCTGGGAGCCACTTAGTAGCACTTAGTTGTGCCGGCTTCCCAAAGCCCCCAGTTCTGAGGCTGATGTGATAGGCTGAAGTTGTGTGCTCTTGCTCCTGATTTGTCTCCAGCTCTGTACCTAGTGGTGTGGGGACTGTTCCTTGGGGGTGCGCAAGCCAGGAGTAATTCTTCAGTACTCGGACTACATGTGTCTAGGGTTACCTTCCCTTGGGGCATGGGGCCACCTTCCATAAGTTCCTTGGGTTCTGCCTCTGCTTGGTCGTTTGCTGCTCGGCTTTCGGCCCCCCCTTTGTATGCTGGGGTGTTTCTGGCACCCTTATTCGCTTTAGGGTAAGAGGTAGTTTGCACTAGTAGGGGCACAGGGTACTGTGCAGCTAGTTGTCACCTCTCATAGCGGTCGACTTTGTTCCGCCTGGGCACGTTGTCGCCCAATGTTGTACTTCGGTAACACGTCTTGGGTTGACATGCGGGCACAAGGTTTTTGGCAGTTGAACCTGGTAAATGTTCCTGGGCCTAGTCGGGTCTGCGTTGCTTTGGGTCGGCATTTGCAGCCAGTTGTCTCGACTTCGCATTGAAGGGGGCAAGCAACGACAGCCTCCCGGGTAAGTCCCTCTTGTTTTCATCTTTTGGTAAGTAGCTCCAGGGAGCCGTAGAAGCTCCCCCCCAGAAAACCAGCGTTGATTGTAATGAAATGCCATTTTCTGGGTGAGACCCAGAGGCTCCCCAGCTACCCTCCCTCCCTCCCTTCTGTCCGCGGTTCCAGCCTTAGAACTGGGGTTTTGGGTCGCCGGTGTGAGGGGTCTGGGGCTCCCCCTACCCCATCCCAGGGAGGGGGGAAGACTCTCAGATGGCGGTGCGGTGACGTGGTGACCTCTGCTCGTTTTTGTTTGGGGAGTTCTGTCCACTAGTTCGGCTTTCAGTAGCAATTTCTTAACCAGAATAGGGGTCTGTTTTGGGATGTTTACCCTTCTGGGTGCCTGACCCGTCGATGGCAGACATAGAATGCTTACAACCACATGGGGGTTTCTATAGGCAATTGCTCCTCGTGCCTCTCTGAAGGGGGCCATATTCTGGCTCGTGGTCCCCGGTTGGCCTAAGAACTCCACCCACACTGACAGATGCCAAAGTCTATCATATCCATATCAGCCTGGATAAGCTCCGGGGAGCCTCCGGGTCTCACCCAGAAAATGGCATTTCATTACATTCAACGCTGGTTTTTTCGTAATTAGGGAAATGCATTTTAACAATATTAGAAGGAACAAAATTGTTTAGAATATTTATATTTTATGTGCACCTAGGTGTTGCACTATATAAACAGGTGTACAGCTGAGGAGTTAAATAGATTAACTCATATATAGTTCAGTACATACAGCTGTATATATTTTATGAAGCAACTAAATTTATAAGGTGCAGTTTAATGCATTCTATTTTTGGTCTCACTGAATTTGCCTTTAATGACAAAATGTATATGCTTAGTTTTTAGTCCAAACATGGGTTTTTAAAACATTTCTCTTGGAGAATAGTATATTAAATCTTGCAGGCGAAGAGTCACAATAACGTGGCTAAAGTATGTTGACCAGACCACACACTAGAAGGTGAAGGGACGACGACGTTTCGGTCCATCCTGGACCATTCTCAAGTCGATCATTCTCAATCGACTTGAGAATGGTCCAGGACGGACCAAAATGTCGTCATCCCTTCACCTTCTAGTGTGTGGTCTGGTCAATATATTAAATCTTGATTTACTGTAGAGAGTAATGCCACATTATTTTGTGTTTTCAGATTGTGCAGCACTACACGACAAATCCCTTTACTAAGGAAACTGTAACTGTGAAGATAATTTACAAGAAACGTTCACATATGGACAAGAGTGTCCAGCTCTACAATGTTCTTTTTAACCGTATCATGAAGGTATTAAAAATGGCTAGGGTTGGGAGGAGCTACTACGCTCCAAGAGGATCTGTTCTCGTGCCACAGCACAAGTTAGTAGCTTCGATGTATTTTTTGTTTGAACTTCATACATTTTTTATTCAAGGTTGCTTAACCCTTAAATTGTGCATCATGACCAGTATTGTTTCATTGATGGCGTGCATTGCAACCAGGGTTGTTTTTAAGTATACTGTAGCATAAGATTTAAAATTCCTGGCTTATATCCTGTTCTTCAGGGCTGCAGTAAAAAGATGTCATCTTGAAAAAAAATTGTCTGAATATCTCTTGGCTATGAGAGCCTCAGTTCAGTACTGAGAGAGCAACCAAGGCTGGCATATGTAGCAGGAGCTCACAGCACCGCTCTGCATCTAAGGGCCACAGCACCACGTAATATTAATAAATAAAATAAGTAAATGAGATTATTTTGCTATGATAGTGTCATTGATGATCCTAACTGTGAGGAAGATCATGTACAACATGCATATATCAGTGAATACAATGCTTGTTATGATGTTCACAGTGTGATGCAGACAGCCACAGCACTTGGCCACTGTTTCGTGCATGTATACACCATGAAATGACTTTATGCTCCTTTAGAATATAACCTTGTGGAAATGAATTCATGTTCAGGATTTAGTGATAGGGATGTGATAATAGCAGTTCTGTGGCTAGTCTTAGAAATATGCATAGTATATTTGGAGGAATTTTCTTGGATAAGGTGACATCTGTTGAGGCGTTGTCGGCTCCATGTTATGTTTTGATTTTGTCTCCATACCCACCAGAACTGCTTATTTGTTCTTTATGGTGGATAAAAATGTTGACAGACGTTTGTCAACATTTGTTGACAAAACACCCACACACTGCTGTACCAGCAGTGTGTGGGTGTTTTGTTCATTTGCAGCTGGCTGCTCCTTTTCTGGCGAAGAACAAGTCGGATTGTCTTCTGGAAGTGTTCTTTGGTCGTTGATGCTTGGTTGGTTTGGCTAGGGATTCATCATGTGCCGTCTCCGGTGGCAGCTCTCCGCCACTACCTTTGTGCTACCGATTCTGAGGATCCCTTATGGGTTGATCATCTTTCTTTTTCCCCCTGTTCGAAGGATCAAGGGTTACTTGATGACCCTAGAGTTCACCTCTGCCCATGGTTGTTCACTTCTGCCCATGGTTGGTCCCATTTTGTTTTGTTGTCTGTGGCGAGATAGATGTAAGGAGCCCAACCCATCCTCTCAAACAATACATTGGATTTTGATTTACAGTATAAATATCCTAAGGCCAAAAACTGATGTACTAGAAATCATAGTATGGCTCTTCTTCGGCTGCGGTCCCACGTGTGGTTGTTTCTGGGTGGGTCCTGGGTCACCCGATAGTTGTTCGAGGGCCTGTGCGGGAGCCTGAACTTTGCAATGATGGTCTACCCGCTGGGTCGGGTTTGGCTTCGTTGGCTGTTCTAGTTCCTTTAGGGACGTTCCTTCCGCCTCTCTCGCGATCGCTGGGTTCGGCCCCCTGGGGGACCTTACGTTAGTTGCTGAGTCGCCAGCTTCCTCTTAGGGTTTTTTGGGGCTTCAGTTCCTTGGTGCCTACCTGAGCCCTTGCTCGATGTGTTCACAGACGAGTCATCTCTTGGTTTGGGTTTTATGACCAGTGCTCACCAGACCGGCCAGGGGCGGTGGGGTCCATCCTCCGTTAGGCCCACAGCATGGTGCAGGAGTTCGCAGCGGTGTGGTTTTCGCTTTCGAGGGTTCGGGTCCCCCGTGGGTCGACGATCTGGCTCCATTCGGACTGCTCCCCAGTGGTTCATTGCCTGAACCGAGGGGGTTCGATGTGGTCCTTGGCTCTCCGGGCAGTTCACGTCCGGGTGGGGTGTCCAACATCCTGGTGGACGGCCTGTCCTGGTTCATTCTCCTGTCCGTGGAATGGACGGTTGATGCCGACTCATTCAGTTGGCTCTGCCAAACGTTTGGGCGTCAGGTGGTGGACCTCTTCTTGTCAGTGTGGTCGAGACATCTTCTGATACATGCAGCTCCCTTCCAGCAGTACTGGTCAAGGTGGGGGTTCCTGTACCTCTTCTCCCCGGTTCAGCTATTGCTCCAGGTCCTAGCTCACTTGGAGACTTACCAAGGGAGAGTAGTCCTCTTGGCCCCATGGTGGCCGGCCCAGCCATGGTTTCAGGTGCTGCTTGCTCGGTGTCCGAATCCGGAGGTTTTCCCTTGGCTCCGCCTCTTTCAGCAGATTGGTCCAGTCTGTTACGAGGCTGGTTCGATCTTCTCCTTGAGTCTTCGCGTTTGGTCTTTTTTGACTCGAGTATCACCATCTGTATGGTGATCAGGTGGCTTTGATGGTGTCCCACCTGTGGGCTTCGTCTCGGCGGCAGTATGAAGTTTCCTGGTGGTCCTTCCATTTCTTTTTGACTCTTCGTTGTTGTACTTCACTTTTGGTTAAGGTTGTTTTGTCCTTTCTCTCGTGGCTGTTTCAGGACCGTCATCTTATGCCGAATACTGTCACCTCATATCGTGCGGCGTTGGCGGAGCCGCTGCAGCTTGCTTTCGGTATAGATGTTACTTCTGCACTGTTTCGCAAGCTGTCTCATGTGCTGTTTTACCTCTGGCCTGCTCATGCGCCGCCTGAGCTGTCCTGGTCTTTGGACAGAGTGCTCTCTTCCCCTCGGTTTGTTGTGGTCTCTTCAGTTCTGGATTGTTTTTCTGTGGCTCTTTTCTTGTTGTCATTGTCTCTGGGGGTTGGGTCGGGAAGCTTCATGCTCTCCTCCGGCAAAGGGGTTTCTGCTCTTTTGGTTGTGGTGATAGGTTTGTTTGTTTGCAGCCGTCTCCTGTTTTGGCGAAGAATGAGACTGCTGCTTTCCGAAGGGGGTCCTTGGATTGTTGATGCTTGGTTGGTTAGGCCAGGGGGTGTATCATGTGTTGTGTCTGGTTGCTCGCCACGACCTCTGTGAATAGGGGACGCTCTTTGGGTTGATCCGGTTTCCTTTCTTCCCTGTTCTTGGGTGTGGGTCTCTCAGGTCGTCAGCAGGGTTATTAAGGCTAGCCAGCCTGCAGTCCATCCCCGTGCCCATGATGTTTGTAAGTTTGCTGCTCCTGCTGCTGTCTTTGGTAACATGTCCTGGTCTGACAATCGAGCATGGGGCTTTTAGCAGTCGAACAGGGTCCTGGCTGCATGCTAACTCGTTAATGTTCTGGACCTATTCGGGCCTGTGTCGCTTTGGGTCGGTAGTTGCAGTCTGTTGTCTTGACTTCGGATTGAGATGTGAGCACTGACCGCCTCCCAGGTACATCCCTCTCGTTTTCGTCCTTGGTGAAGTAGCTCCGGGGAGCCGTAAGGGCTTTCCCCAGAAAACCAGCGTTGAATGTAATGAAATGCCATTTGCAGGGTGAGTCCTTCCTTCCTCCGGTCTGTGGTTTTTCTTGTGTTTTGCAATCCTTCCTCTGAATAGACAGTATGTTTGAATACTAAATGTAATAAGTACAGTCCTGACTGTCTGCATAGTACATAAATACACTTATTAATTGTGCTGTTACATTTACCTCCCCATATATTCTCCTCATTTTCTGTTAATACACTCAAAATTTTTAGGTTGAAGTTTTTGTGTTCAATTCTATATACACAAGTTTTAAATACAGTATAAAGAATTTCTTTTTCAGTTTTATTAAATGATAGAGATTTTATACAAAATTTGAAAATATCCTGAGTTACCTTATAATTTATTGAAATACTTTAGTTTTGTTTTATTAGTTTTATAAAATTGTAATATCAATATAGCTATAGGTTAAGTACTAATTGTAATTAAGAAGCAATAAATGCTATTTACATGCTTGACCTCCTACACTCCCAAGGTTAGGTTAGGTCGTGGTTTTCTATACACCTTTTCAGGTAAACTCTAATATTCACAATATTTTGGTGCGATGATGTTTTAACCAGTATTGTTGTTTTAACCAGTACAGTATAGGGATTTGTTTTGAAGCGCTTATCTTTCTTTCTGGGTGCCTGTCACAGTCGATGGCAGATATAGAATGCTCCAAATCACATGTGCATTTGTATAGGGTATTGCTCCTTGTGCCTTTCTGAGAGAGGGCCAGGTTCTGGCTCGTGATCCCCGATAGGCCTAGAACTCCACCCACACTGACTGATGCCAAAGTTTAAGGTAATACATATCACCCTGGATATCGCCGGGAAGCCTCCGAGACTCGCCTAGAAAATGGCGTTTCATTACATTCAACGCCGTTTCTTTTTTTTTTTCTTTTTTTTTTTTTAATAGTGCCTCTTGTCTAACAGCTCCTGACAGCTGAGTGGACAGCGCTTCGGATTTGTAGTCCTGAGGTTCCGGGTTCGATCCCCAGTGGAGGCAGAGACAAATGGGCAAAATGTTTCTTTCACCCTGATGCCCCTGTTACCGAGCAGTAAATAGGTACCTGGGAGTTAGACAGCTGCTATAGGCTGCTTCCTGGGGGGAAGGGGTTGTAACAAAAAGGAGGCCTGGTTGAGGACCAGGCCACGGGGACGCTAAGTCCCGAAATAATTTCAAGATAACCTCAAGATAACCACTTGTTGGTGTGGTAGATATTGTCCTAGTAGCCTGGTGTGTTGACTGTGACCCTGTAGGGTCACTGCTATATACCGTTGGGGGAGCTACTAAGGACCTCCCAGAAAGAAATATTTTATTACACTTATCATTTTTTTTTAAATACCTATCCTATGAATATTGAATGTTACTAATGCTGATATTGCAGATATAGTAGTGAAGATCTACTGTACATTTCATTATCATTAGATCTATATATATATATTGAAAATTAGCTGTACCATCATACTTTGCTTGTTGATTTGTCAAATGATATTAATGATGTTGGATACTTGGAGGGAGTACAGGGATGCGGATTTCATCTCATCTTATGGTCTCAATATTTTCTCATAGATTCATCATGTTCTTGTGGTTTTATTGTGCACAATTATTTGTTTTGTTGATGTTTCAGATTGTATAGTCTGATTTTGGTAATTCTCATAAGTTAAAATGATGTTTTAGGTTGGAAATATGGCCAGGATATGTGACTGCTGTGAGTTATCAAGAGGGGGGAATTATGCTGTGTTGTGATGTGTCACACAGAATTCTACGCACTGAGACCTGTTATGAGATACTGTGAGTAGTAATCATGGCATACACCAATGTTGTTCTAACCATTTTCAGAATATTCTTTGCTCAATAAATTTTTTAATCTATAATACAGTTTAAAGTTAGGTTATTTAACTGATTATATACACATACTGGTTGTGAAAATTACAATTAGAAGGATATCTGATGAAGTGGTTGTGAAATGACAATAAAGTGAAGCATGTGAAGATAATAATCATAGGTTGTACCAAGGCTGTGGAGTTAGGGGTTAGCTGGAACATTCAGTAATTATTGGCTGCCAAGACTGTATTAGACCTCCAAAACCATGTGCCCGAATATCAACCCAGAAGCATATATACAAATATCATGGGTTAACAGGATAGACTACAGGCTGGCTGGACTTATTAACACTACAGATGACCTGAGAAGCATAACCTATGGAGCAGGGAACCAAGGAAGCAGGATCAACCCATGAAGCAGCCAACTGAGGCAGAATTGGTGGCATGAAGGTAAAGGTGAAGCACGCCACTAGGCACAGCAAATGATGCACCTCCAACTGAACCATCCAAGCATCAGTAACGACTCATTCTTTGTCAGAAAGAGAGGAGAGGGAGGGCTTCAAACAAACATTGTGCTCACTCAGGCCAAAAGAAGAAAAACTGCACCTCCCGAGAAGAGCCTGGAGCTCACTAACCCTACAACCAGAGACTTAAGGGCATCCTTTCCTAGGCACCCTGTGAGTACTGCCCTTGCATATTAGGGTTCCCTTCTCTGGTGCGTTCGGGATGCCATTTCCGTAGGAGTATTTACTGCTCAACTTTTACCTCGCCCTTGGGGCCAGGTGGGGTTTTGTGGTCCTTGTTTGGCCTTGGGTAGGGAGTGGTATTGTGTTGGTTAGAGCATCAAGGTGTGCTGCTTGCCTACCTATGGGCGGCCGATTTCGTTTCCTCTGGTGACATTGTACTTTTGTGGGTTTTTTCTTTCGTTTTTGTTTTTATTGCCTGGTAATAAATGAGATTTATTAAAAATAACACACTAGGTCTGCCTGGTGTGGCTATTGTTCAACTTATGATATTTTGGTGGCCCTCTGCTAGGCCCCCAAGATTGTACATGTCGTAGGGGGTTTCAATGTTTTGATCTGCCCCTTGTTAGCTTTGGGTCTTAACCGGTTAGCAACACTTTTGCCAGGCTTCCCGTTGCAGTCTGCCTACGGGCCCTGGAAAACCCTGTCGGGGCTCGGTGGACCTATGGATGAGTCTTCCGAGTTCCAGCCCACCTCGTGTGGGTTCGAAGGTTGCTGTGTGCCCTTCTCTCAGGATGACTGTCACCTCTTTTGCCTCCATCATGCTGCCTTTTGGGCCAATGATACCTTTGATCCAGAGTCTTTTGAGTCGTGTTCTCTGCTTGTTCTCCAGAACTGTTTGTTAGGGTACAGGCAGCATCCGCATTACATGCTAGGTTCATGTTGCTGCAACGTTGGTTTCTCGCCCGGATGCCCCGTGGCTGTCTCACTTTGGTTATAGGGACCCAGACCCAGCTTCGACTTTGGTTCAGTCTGCGCTTCCTGGTCCTTTCCCTGTTGTTCACCCTGCTCCCTTTATTCCCCTGCTTCCGGCTCCCAAACGTCTGAGGGTTTCGGAGTCGGGGAAGGGTTTAGTTGGTAGTGAGACTCGGGCAGCTTCGGGGGCTGTCCCATTTGGGTTGGGGACGGAGGCATTCGAGCCAGTTCCTCCTACCGAGGCTTCTGGGTCTCACCAGCAGGCTTCCCCCCCCCCTTCTTTTCAGCCTTTTCCTTAGACTCTGCCTTTTCTTCAGGGGTAAAGGGTATGGAGGACTGCTTTGCCCCGGGACCCGACTTGGGGAATCCCGGGGCTTGGGAAGAGTCGACCTGGGGGGCCTTGGGGACCCCTCCTTTGACCCCTTTGGGTGTTGTGCCCTCTTCACGGGGCTTGTTGTTGCAGGGGAATGGGTTTTCTTACCCTCTTCCCCCTTCCCTGTATGAGCATGATTTGGGGTTTGCTCCTTCCTGGATTCAGTTCCGGTCTCCCTTGGGTTCCTTGGACCCATCCTACTAGAGGATTTCTGCCTCTTGTATCTCCCCCATGGGAAGTTTGAGTGCCTTAATGCTTGTTTGTTCACCCTCATGCTTTTTCGGGATGTTGGCCTTGTGCAGCTGCACATGCAGGTTCCTACCCTTTCGGCGTCCTTGGTTGCTGAGGATTTGCGCCCGTGGGCATTTGGCTTCGGTCTTGCGCTTCTTTTCCCTTCTCGAGCTGTCTTCGGCCTGATTTAAGGATGTAGTAGAGGCGTTGAGTGCCGGGCCTATGTCTGGCGTGTTGTCCTTGGCAGCTCGGGCATTGGCTGCACTGTTGAAGCTGTTTGTGCCTTCCCTGAAGGAGGTGGTTTCTCTGTTCTTTGCTTCTCACCTTTCATGCCATCAGGCTGTGCTCGCTCTGTCTTTGGAATCCGCTTGGGTCCTGGCTCTTAGGCTTTTGTCACTGTTTTGTCCGTTGCCGTTTGTGGAGTTTGCTGTCACTCAGTTTCTGCAGGTGGCTTCATCTAGTAGTTTTCCTATGTCGGACTTGTTGGTTCTTTGTGGCGGCCGTTCTTGGTCTCCTAGAAAGGGTCGTGCCAGGGCTCAGGGTTCCACTGGTCGAGGTGGGCCTTTGGTGCCAGCTTCAGAGCCAGCATCGTCTGGTCGGCGCGATGATTGCCCTGTTCGTCGGCCGGCTTCTCGTAAGGAAAGTCGACCCTTTCACGGTTCGCCCCACTGACGGAGGATGGGGGGAAGCTCCCTCTGTTTGCTCGCGCATGGTCCCACAATTTGTGTGCATTTTCAGTTGCGTCATCTGGCCTGTGGTGGGGTTGGAAGAGTCCTTCGAGGGGGATGAGGTTCAGGGCTGACAGGGCTGGCTTCTTCCCTTGTGCTTTGTCAGGTCATCTCGGAGTGGGTGCATTTGGGCATGGTCTAAACGACCCCATCCCTCAGGTGGGTTTCTCACCTATTCCCAGTGCCGAAACAGGACTGTGCAGACCTGTGGTTCCATCTGGACTTGTCCCATCTGAACCCCTGGATTCCTTGCCCCTCCTTTCAAATGACCACTCTGTTTTAGGCCCAGCTTTTTTTGGAGCCGGGTGTCTGAATGGTGTTCCTGGACCTTTCAAGGACACGTATTGGCACATCCCTATTCATCTGGGGTACAGAGACTGGCTAGGTTTCGTGGTGGAGTATCAGGCTTACCGCTTTTGTTGCCTTCCTTTTGGCATAAATCTGGCACCTGGCCTACCTCGATGACTGGCTAATGTGGGCTCCCAGTCAGTCTGCTTGATAGGGGTGTGGTTCCTTCCCAGCTCGCCTGGTTCAGGTTCCTGGTGAACTGGAGGAAGTCCCATCTGGTTCTGTCCCAGGTTCGGACTTGACTAGATCTTGTTTGGGACTCTCGGACTGCTTCCATGTCTATCCCTCTGGAGGTGTTGCTGAGGCTGCAGTCCCAGTTCACTCGGCTGTTGCTCAAGCAGCTGTGCAGGAGTTTTAACTTTGCCGTACTGGTCTACCCACTGGGTCGGGCTTGGCTTCGGTGTCTGTTCTGGTTACTTCGGGGGCGCCCCTTCAGTTTCTCTCGCAATCGCTGGGTTTGTACTCCGGGGGCCTTGTGTCGGTTGCTGTGTCGCCGGCTTCCTTTTCGGGGATTTTGAGGTTCAGTGCCTTGGCGCCTACCTGAGCCCTCGCTCGATGTGTTCATGAACGCGGCATCTCTTGGCTGTGGTTTTGTGACCAGTGCTCACCAGGCCGGCCAGGGGTGATGGGGTCTGTCGAGCTCACAGTACGGTGCGAAAGTTCTCAGCAGTTTGGCTTCCCCTTGTCCAGCAGGTCAGACCAATCCGGTAAAAGGTTTGGTCTTCTCCTCCGTTCTTCGAGTCTGGTCTTTTTGATGCAGGTTTATCACCATTTGATCAGGTGGCTTTGTTGATGGTGTCCAACCTGAGAGCTTCGTCTTGGCAACAGTATAAAGTTTCCTGGCGTTCTTTCCATCATTTACTCTTTTGATAGGTTGTCTTCTATTTCTGATCGTGTTGTCTTGTCCTTTCTTTCTTGGCTTTTTTAGGGCCATCATTTGATGCATAATACTGTCTCCTCCTATCGTGCGGCACTGGCAGAGCCGCTCCAACTTGTGTTCAGGGTGGATGTCATTTCTGCCCCGTTCTGTAAGCTTTCTCGTGCTTTGTTTCACCTCTGGCCTGCTCATGCGCTGCCTGAGCAGTTCTGGTCCTTGGACAGGGTGCTCTCCTATCTTTCCTCTCCTTAATTTGTGGTGGCTCCTCTTGTTCAAGATTGTTTTTCCAAGGCTCGGTTTCTGTTGACATTAGCCTCTGAGGGTTGGATCGGTGCGCTTCATGATCTCCTCCTGTGCAAGGGTTGCTGCTCTTTTGGTCCTGGTGGTTGGTTTGTTCGTTTGCAGCCTTCTCTTCCTTTTTTGGCGAAGAACAAGCGGCTGCCTTCTGGATGGGTCCTTGGATCATTAATGCTTGGTTGGTTAGGCCGAGGGTGCATCATGTGTTGTATCTGGTTGCGGCTCTTCTCCGTTATCTGTGTGCTTCAGCTTCGGTGTCTGGGATACGCTTTTGTTGATCCGGTTTCCCTCGTTCCCTGTTCCAGGGCTCGGGTCTACCAGGTCGTCTGCAGGGTTATTAAGTGTAGCCAGACTGTGGTCTATCCTTGTGCCAATGACGTTAGGAAGTTTGCTGTGTTTGGCAACATGTCTTGAGCTGATATTCGGGTACGGGGATTTTGGATTTCGAACAGGGTCCAGACTGCCCGTTATTTGGTTAACGTTCCTGCTCCTGGACATTCCTGTCTTGCTTTGGGTCGCAAGTTGCAGCTAGTTGTCTCAACTTTGCATTGAACAGTCTGTGGCGGCTGCCTCATGGGTAAGTCCCTCTTTTCCTTATCTTTGGGTATGTAGCACCAGGAAGACGTAGGGCTCCCCACAGAAAACCAGCGTTGAATGTAATGAAACACCATTTTTTGGGTGAGCTCCAGAGGCTTCCTGGCAACCCTCCTTCCCTCCGGTCGGCAGTTTTTCGCGTTGTTTAATCCTTAGCTGGAGTGAGCTGTAGTGCTAGGTAGCTGGCATGGGGAGATCCGGGGCTCCCCTCTCCCCCATTTCAGAGAAGGGAAAGCTGAGCAGATGAGTGGCACGGCAGTGGAATGTGACGTTTGCTTGTTTCCTTGGGATTGGAGGGAGTTCTGGCTCTCTTTTTGTGGTTATTAGTTGTAATATTCTTACCATGCGTGGTTTGTTTTGTTATGCCTACCTTTCTGGGTGCCTAACCCCGGTTGAAGGCAGATAAGGAAAACCCTCAACCACAGGGGGGTTTTCCAGGGCCATTACTCCCAGAAACCTCTCTGAGGCGGGCCAGGTTCTGGCTCATGGTCCCCGATAGGCTGAACTCCATAGACTAATGCCCTGGTCTAATATATCACACATTAGCCTGATAGCTCCAGGGAGCCTCTGGAGCTCACCCAGAAAATGGCATTTCATTACATTCATTACAAGATTCTCCCATCTCCATCTTTCTGGTTCCTGCTTTCACGAGTGTGCTTAGATGTCTTGGGCTTTATGTGCTAGCTTCTGGTGTCTCTTCCACTGGAGTGGTGACCTGACTGCCTCTTTGTGTTGGTGTTGAGAGATTTAACCTGCCCTCTTTGGTCTCAGTGAGCCATTTCTCTTGTTGGTGGACTGAGCTAGTCTCTACTATTTTGTCTTCCCAACAACGTGCCAAGACTATTTGAAAGTTGTCACATTGGGGCAAAAGTTTAGTAGAGCTAGGCTTGTGAACAGTATTCTGTGTGAACCATGGCTGGGTATGAACTCTTCATGGTAAATGAAGAGACACTTAGGAAGGAGTGCTTCAGTCCTCTTAATGGCTTATTTTATTTTTATTTTAAATTCATAAGAGGGGGGGTTGAGAGAGTTGTAATCAAGGCAGTAAGATGGAATGAAGAAATGCATAAAGAGTTAGATATTGTATTGGTATTGATTACCTGATTTTTACTTGATTTACCTGAGGGCCACTAACCCTAGTGGTCTCAATTGAGGACAGGAAGCTGGTGGCTTGTCGAAAGTTCCCCCCCATTTGCCTTGATAATATTTTCCAGGTATGTTTTAAAACTCAACACAGTTTTGGCAGTTACAGCTTCGGCGGGTAGGCTGTTTTATGGGTTAATAACCCTGTGGGTGATAAAGCATCTGCTGTTCTCAGTCCTACATTATGGCTAGTTGAGCTTGAAACCATTGCTGTTTGTGTTACATCTGACATGAAGAAAATATCTGGATCAACATCCTCCAACTTGTTCAGTGCAGTATTTTAAAGATTTCAATGAGATCCACCCTGTCATGCCTGGTTTGCAGTGTTGTTAGCCCTGTGGCCTTCAAGCATTTCTGAAATGAGAGATGACTTAGCTCTGGAATGACTTTTGTTGTCTGGTGTTGCACCTTCTCTAGAGCAGCTATATATTTCTGAAAATGAGGCCGCCATGCTTGGATACAGTAATCCAAATGGGAGCGCACCAAAGACTTACACAGTTGAACCATTACCTTCTTTTCCTTAGTCAAAAGTACAATTAATTATCCCATGAGTTTTGTTAGCTTTTCTGACTGCTGCACCCACCTGTTGTGCAACTTTTAATGGGTGGTGGATTTTGACTTTAAGGTCCTTTTCTTCATCAATCTGTTGTAATGTAATGCTATTAATTTGGTAGTTGTGGTGCAGGTTGTTGTGCCCCACATGCAGGGTCTTGCATTTGTCAATATTAAAAAGCATTTGCCAGTCTTCTGACCATATATGGAGTTTATGTAGATCTCCTTGTAAGGCTTCAATATCATTATCATTTCCCATTTTACCATAAATCTTTGTGTCATCTGCAAATTTGATGATGTGGTTTGTAAGATTTTCATCTATGTCATTGATGTATATGACAAATAGGGTAGGTCCCAGAATGGATCCTTGTGACACCCTACTTATCACTTCTCCATTCAGATTCATTTCCATTTAGCATGACTCTTTGCTTTCTTTCCTTCGACCATTGTTTTATCCATACTAATATTTGACCATGTTTTCCATGTGCCTGTAATTTCCTTGCCAGTCTTTCATGTGGTACCTTATCAAAAGCTTTAGCAAAATCCATGTATACCACATCCACCGGAAGGCCTTTGAGTAACTGATTATCGTTTCCAAAAAATATGAGCAAGTTTAGTTGACAGGTTTCTGCAAGGAAGTGTATTCATAAAGGTTCAGATTTGACAAACCAAATAATACCAGAACAGTATAATGTTTAAAGTAACTTTGTGATGGGGTAATTGTTCCTGTAAGTTTTATAGTATATAAGTTTGCAATGGTCATTAATGCTTTTTATAGGTTTCATGACATAATGCTTTGACCTGAAGATTGCTTAATGTTACATGTACTCGTTTATATGGAAATGTAGGTCCAATATAACTTTGAATAATGAATTCATCTATTGGGTAAAAATCATACTGAATATGGACATACATAGACCTAAAAAGTCAGTTGATCATTCTCATACTTAGGACTGACTTGTGTGAAATGCAGCGATCTAACTTCAAGGCAGCAGCTGCTAAAGCATTAGTTGGCTGCATTGTTCTCACTCGGTACAACAATAGATCCTACCGTATAGATGATATTCTCTTCGACCAAAATGCTGAATCAACATTTAAAAACTACAAAGGAGAGGAGGTTTGTGAAAAATTTAATGGTAACGAAGTTTAACTTTTAAAGATGTATGAATTGTTATAGATTTTTAATGTTTTCTAACCATTTTTTTTTATGTTTAGTCACTGTCCTGCTGCACTTGTTCAAGCTATTCAAATTGTTCTTACTGTCATATTCTTAGTGCAATTTTGTTGCCAAGAATTCATGTATACATGTGTGTCCCACTGACAGATTTAGGGATTTAAATGTGTAGATGTCCAATATCAAATTTCTGAGCAAGACATTCTTGGTGGCACCACTGACCCACAGAACTGGTGCACTCAGGTCAATGCAAGGATTCCAGGCCCTGAGCAACATTGACCTCAACACTGAAACAAGTTAACCTTGCATGTAGTTTTGTCTCCCAGTTTAGTGGTGAGGTGCAGCATGCGGAGCATACCTCAATCTTCCACTGAGAGAAACTGCTGCTCACTGTAACAGCAAAAAATGTCTTAAAAAACACACTCTTTGAATGATTATTGGGACCTTTTAAAGTAGCCAAATATAATTCTGAAATGTTGACCAAATCACACACTAGAAAATGAAGAGAGACTTTGTCTTCTTTTCCCAGTGATCTATGCAATATCCTAATTTCCCATTGCATTTGACACTGCTCACTTCTCTTCCCACGACTCCTCCACACTACACAACAAACTTCAACGCCTGATTTCCAACAATCCTTGGGCTAAATACTCTCTCTCTGTGTTACCAACCTTTCATCTTCACCTCTTTCTAAACACAGCAAGAACTTCTCGGACTTGGTCTTTCTTTTGCTACTTTCCCTAGCCCGTGCTGTGGCATTGACCTCATTAGTTCCTTTGACAAGTTTGTCAATTCTAACTCACAGGAAAGTACTCTTTCGGATCTGTCTGCCTTTAGAGGGGCTCCTATCCCTGTTTTTGACAGCTTGTTTTCTAAAAATCACCACCTTCCTCGTTGCTTCCAGCTTGCCCTTGCCCTCCCCAAAGTCTAACAACTCTATTCTTATCCTTCGTTCCGACAAAGGCAATTCAGTGGTTGTCCTTGACTGTGAGGACTACCTTCAGAAAGCAGATGTCTTGCTCTCTGACTCCCGCACATATGCCCCCTCTGAATTCTAACCCTTTGGATCGCCTTAAAACTTCCTTCAACCGCAAACTAAGACAGCTCTTTAGTCTTTGTCCTCCTGACCTCGATCTTATTAAACATTTTCATGTCATCTGCCCTTCTCTTCCTTATTTCTATAGTCTACCTAAGACTCATAAACCTGGTATTCCTCTTCGTCCTATCATTTCTTCACAGGGGCTCTGTCGACTATCCTCTTGCCTCCTGGCTAACTAAAACTCTGACGCTTTATCTTGTCATTTTTTCTTCTGCCCACCTTCGTCACTCTCAGGACTTCATAGAAAGACTGTGACTGCAGCCCTCCTGTAAGATGCTTAGTCTTAGTCTTGATGTCGACTCTGTTTACTAATGATCCCCTTGATGACGTTCTCTTTCCTTAGACAGAAGGCGACTGAGGGCCTTCTTCCTCTCCCACTTCCCACTGACGTTTTCCTCAAACTCATTAGACTCTGTGTTGACTCTTAACTCTTTCTCTTTCAACGGTAAATACTACTCTCAAACCTTCAGTGTCGCTATAGGTTCCCCCCTCTCTCCCTTGTTCTTGCCAATTTCTACATGGAATACAGTACAACCTCGATTCAACGCACTGTATGGGACCAACCGCAGTGCTTTGGAGTGTGGATTCATTGCAAGACGTGACCTTCAGGAGGCGTTTGCGTAGGTGTCTTTTTTCTTGTACACAATAAAAATGCATTATATTATATAGTGTACTACTCTACTTAAAAATACTGTTACATTTGTTATTTATTTTATTGTTGGAGTTATGTCCATCTTGAAGTCTCATGGAGTTGTGAATGCTGTACAGTAAATATGTACTGTAGTGTATTATGCCATTAGCACTGTGTTGGTTAAGTAGTTCTGCTGTATGTTGAGTACTACAATGCAGTTTATGAAAACTGTTGTACACTAAAATTACTGCAACTTTAATTTTAACACTATGTACTCACTTAAATTTAACACTTGTTCTAACTGTTCACTCCACACATGATGTTTTTAGATGTTTGCATCAGCTTTGCTGGTGCTCGCTGCTGCTGTGTTGGCTTTAGCTGATTCTGAGCTGGTGCAGACTACTGTTATACTGGCACTGGGTACAGCTGTGCTGGTGCTGGTTACGGCTGTGCTGGCGCTGGTTACAGCTGTGCTGGTGCTGGGTACAGCTGTGCTGGCGCTGGTTACAGCTGTGCTGGTGCTGGGTACAGCTGTGCTGGTGCTGGTTACAGCTGTGCTGGTGCTGGTTACGGCTGTGCTGGTGCTGGGTACGGCTGTGCTGGTGCTGAGTACGGCTGTGCTGGTGCTGGGTACGGCTGAGCTCATGCTGGGTACGGCTGTGCTGGTGCTGGGTACGGCTGTGCTGGTGCTGGGTACGGCTGTGCTGGTGCTGGGTACGGCTGTGCTGGTGCTGAGTACGGCTGTGCTGGTGCTGGGTACGGCTGAGCTCATGCTGGGTACGGCTGTGCTGGTGCTGGGTACGGCTGTGCTGGTGCTGGGTACGGCTGTGCTGGTGCTGGGTACAGCTGTGCTGGTGCTGGGTACGGCTGTGCTGGCGCTGGTTACGGCTGTGCTGGTGCTGAGTACGGCTGTGCTGGTGCTGGGTACGGCTGTGCTGGTGCTGGGTACGGCTGTGCTGGTGCTGGGTACGGCTGTGCTGGTGCTGGGTACAGCTGTGCTGGTGCTGGGTACGGCTGTGCTGGCGCTGGTTACGGCTGTGCTGGTGCTAAGTACGGCTGTGCTGGTGCTGGGTACGGCTGTGCTGGTGCTGGGTACAGCTGTGCTGGTGCTGGGTACGGCTGTGCTGGTGCTGAGTACGGCTGTGCTGGTGCTGGGTACGGCTGAGCTCATGCTGGGTACGGCTGTGCTGGTGCTGGGTACGGCTGTGCTGGTGCTGGGTACGGCTGTGCTGGTGCTGGGTACGGCTGTGCTGGTGCTGGGTACAGCTGTGCTGGTGCTGGGTACGGCTGTGCTCATGCTGGGTACGGCTGTGCTCATGCTGGATACGGCTGTGCTCGTGCTGGGTACGGCTGTGCTCGTGCTGGGTACGGCTGTGCTCGTGCTGGGTACGGCTGAGCTCATGCTGGATACGGCTGTGCTCATGCTGGGTACGGCTGTACTCGTGCTGGGTACGGCTGTACTGGTTGATTTTCTGCTACTAGTTCATAAAAAATATTGACTCATTTTTGTTTGTTTCCTTCCTTTTGTCATGTCCTTGAGACAAATATCTTTCGTCATCTTTAGGTGTTAATAAAAGCTGGTGGGTTATTACGATTATTCTTCCACTGGCGGACAAATACGTCACTCGCAGACAAAGCTAACGGCGCTGGGTGCCTACTGTATGAACACAAACTAGGTCTATACACCCTGCATTAGACTGGGGTTTAAGCCAGATCAAGTAACATAAATTTCTCTCAAATATTGGATATACATCAAATTATATATTTTTGGGTTATATATTTAGTTTAGTAACATTGTTAGGATAATAAGAGATATAAAAAACTTATTTTAGAACTGATTTATTAATTTTATTATTTCGAGGCCGTAGGTCACTGAACTGTGGCGATGAAATTGAACAAAACACACATGGTGCTGTGTGTACAAGGAATAGACCCGTCCCCTTGCACTGGTGTTGTTATTCCAATAACAAATAATTTCTCAAATAGCAGATGTCTATCATATTACAGTATATTTTTGGTTTTATTCAGTTTAGTTTAGTTTAATTAGGATAATAAAAAGCTATTAAAACACTGGTTTTTAGAAATAATTTATTATTCTGAAACTTTCAAAGTCATGAGTCACTGAACTATGACAACACAGACGAAGAAAAACCAAGTGAGATTTACAGCACAGTATTCCCTTATCTGTCCGCCCTCACTCATCTTGTTTCTTCACAGAAAATGTCTATAAGGAGTTTTACCACATGTAGCTAGCTAATCACGCTTCAGCCTTTAAATTAATTTACAAAGATACGTGTGCCACAAATCGGTGAACGAAAATCATGGAAACTCAGTCGTTCACTTGTGTGGACCACTCTGGCTGGTGTTTGGTTAATATGCTTCACTTGTGGTGCACTGATGGTTCCCTACACCGTCCCACGGGTGCAGCTGGAAGTGCAGTTGTCCTGACAAAACAAAAACGAGCAAATGAGCAAGACGTCACTACGTCGTCACACCGTCGTCTGCTCAGTTCCCCCCACCCCCTAGGAGGGGGAAGGGGGAGCCCCAGACCCCCTCATGCCGGCTACCCAAAACCCCAGTTCTGAGGCTGATGTGCTAGGCTGAAGTCATGCTCTGGCTCCTGATTTGTCTTCAGCTGTGCCTTTGTGGTGTTGGGGTTGTCTCACAGGGGGTGCACAAGTCAAGAGTAATTCTTCAGTACTCAGGCTGCATGCACCTAGGGCTAGCTTCCCTAGGTACCCAGTAAGTACTGTCCATGGGGCTTGAGGCCGCCTTCCACAAGTTGGGTTCTGCCGCTGTTTGGTCGTTGGCGCTTGGCTTTCGGCCGCCCGTTGTGTGGTTGGGTGTTTCTGACTCCCTTGTTCACCTTCGGGTAGGAGGTAGTTGTCACTGGTAGGGGCACAGGGTACTGCACAGCTATCATAGCGGCCAGCCCTGTTCCGCCTTGGTACGTTGTTCTCTTGCGGGGTTTTATTTTTGTTTTTGTTTTCCCTGCCTGGTGGAGGGTCTGCTTTTGTTTTGTTGCCCCCGGTGTATATTTAGTATGCGTCTGTGTTCTGGTTTTACCCCCTGCTAGGTCCCCGTGAGTGTTCACATCCCGGGGGTTCAGTTACTTAGTAAGTTTGTTGGTAGACTTGGGCGCCAGTTAGCAGTACCCTGCCTTGGCTTCCCTGTGCGTGAGTTCCATCTCAGGTCCCTGGGAATTCCCGCGGG